CGACACCGCCTTCATACACAATGGCTTGTTAGGACAAGGATGTGGGCAGTGGCAGCACACGCATGCGGGCAGACAGGACAAGGGCAAGGGTAGGGGGCTACTGCCCTGTGCTCATCGCCGCGGCAAGACAAGGATGTGGGCAGTGGCAGCACACGTATGCGGGCATACAGGAGACACAGCATCAGCCGCGGCGATGAGTACAGGGCAGTAGCCCAATCACAGCGCACAGAGCTCTGTGCACAGAGCACAGGGTACAGGGTATCGGGCACAGGGGCGCAGATCACAGAGAGAACACAGCATATGGACAGAGACAATACAGCATTGCACAGAGAGAATACAGCATTGCACAGAGACAATACAGCATTGCACAGAGAGAATACAGCATTGCACAGAGAGAATACAGCATTGCACAGAGAGAATACAGCATTTCACAGAGAGAATACAGCATTGCACAGAGAGAATACAGCACAGCATATGCACAGAAACTTTCAAGCTTTACGCCTGAACACATCTCCTTTATGAGCCCTCTTTCCTGTATCCTAGACCTTGACCGCTCACCTCACCCTGCTCCTTACTCGCCTCCGCCCCCCTTGCCCTCTTTGAAGTGCATGTCACAGAAGTTGTAAAAGGACGACACAACAAAACAAAAGCTCACCTCGCCCTCCTCCCTGCTCATGCCCTCCTTGAAGGCAAAGATGTATGAGGGGGCCGACCCTCCAATGTGCTTAATGAAATGAAGTCTCACCTCCGCCTCCTCCCTGCTCATGCCCCTCCTTGAAGGCCTTCGATGGCGAAGGGCACCTTGAGCAGCGTGCCTCTATCTTCCTTGGACCAAACCAAAGCTCACCCTCAGCCTCGTCCTTGCTCATCCCTCTTCAAGTCTCACCTCCGCCTCCTCCCTGCTCATGCCCTCGTTGAACGCAAAGAGGTATGCGGAGCCCGACCCTCCAATGTGCTTCATGAAATACAGGTGCGCTGAAAAAGCCTTACAACAAAAGGAAGACTCACCTCGGCTTCCTCCTTGCTCATGCCCTCCTTGAAGGTCGCATCACAGAAGGCAAAGAGGTATGAGGAACCAGACCCTCCGATGGCGAAGGGCGCCTTGAGCAGCGTGCCTCCCTGTGGCAGCGCGTACACTGATGCCCCGTCGTACTGGTCCCACCCGCCCACTATCATGCCCGCTGATAGCATGTTCTGATGGGTACGGATGAGGGTGCAGGGGGGACGAGGGTGAAGGGGGTATTAAGGAGCAGGAGTGATGAGGGGGGAAGAGGACGAAGCAGTGCGTACACTGACGCGCCGTCGTGCTGGTCCCGCCCGCCCACTATCATGCCCGCTGATAGCATGTTCTGCGAAACACGCAAGGAGATACAGCAAGAACAAAGGAGGATGAGGGAGGGATGAGGATAGCATGTTCTGTTAAGACACAAAAGAAGGGTCCCCACCCACGACTATGGCTAACAACGCCACACGAAGGATCAGGGAGGACAAAACATGGGCATTGCAAGGCGCACACAACAAGGGATGAGGACGCGGGCAGCAGGGAAGATGAGCCACGAAGACAAAGACAGTAAGACATGGAAACGATCATGCCATGTCAGGATCATGCCTGCTGTCAACATGCCAGGATCACGCCTGCTGTCAACATGCTATGCCACGTCAGGATCACGCCTGCTGTCGACACGTTATGTCGCGTGACGAGGAAATGGATTTGCGAGGCAGTCGACAAAACGTTAACCATAAAGGAAGGAGGATATGCTAAAAAAAAGGAAGGGGAAACGTGGGATGGAAGGGGGGGGGGGGGAGGGGGGGGGAGGAGGGGGGGAGGGGCGGTGGGATGTCCAGGAGAATAGTGTTTATCATAACATATGGCGGCTAATGGGTTGTGGACAAGAATTGAGTCACCTTGTAGCTGTAACTGATTTGCTTGACCACATTAGCCACCGTCTTCACATCTGTAGGCTTGCCCAGCTCCATCCTGATGCCATGCCATGGGATGGGATGAGATGGGAAGGTAGCTGAATTGCTTCACATCAGTGAGCTTGCCAAGCTCCATCCTGATGCCATGCCATGGGGATGGGATGGATGAATTATAATGTAATATGGTGTGATAAGAAGTGATGCTGTGATGTGATGTGACACGATGTGATGTGATGTGATGTGACGCGATGTGATGTGATGTGATGTGATGTGATGTGATACGATGTGTGCAGTGCAGACATGTGCGAAAAAAGACACGTTGCAGACTCAATCAGGCATAAGCCATGTACAAAACGGCCAGTTCACATGCAGAACAGGGGCATAAGGATATCGCCGCTGGTAGCATGCATAGACCAGAACTGGTAAAAAAAAGTCCTGCACCCTTTTGATTGAATGTGCACTCATTGCTGCTACCGCCACACACTCCCCAAGTCCTGAAAAAACGTCTCAGTCTGAGTTCACTCAATTTGCTGGCAAGGTAGTAGCGTGCAAACGTGGACACCGTTGCTGCCTGCACTCCCTGCTGCAAACGTGAGTACGCTCTGCACTCACTGGTGTTGTGAGAGGTAGTACTGTGCATACGTGGACACTGACTGCGTACCTTCTGCTGCTACCCGCACTCCTTACTGCTACCTGCACTCCCTGCTGCTACCAGCTCTCCCCTGTAAGTCAACTTTGCACTCACTGGTGTTGTGAGAGGTAGTACTGTGCATACGTGGACACTGTCTGCGTGTCCGCGGCCTGCAGAGGAAAGGAGAGGCGCAGCCAGACGTCAGGTATGCAAACGCCGGAAGGAAAACAACAGCTAAAAATGTCCATCCAGAATGAAATTCAACCAGACATCTAGGTTGACAGCCTAAATGTCAAGATGTCAGCCTGAATGTCTGATTGAATTTCATTCAGGACATTCAGGCTGTCATCTTGACACTCAGGCTGTCATCTTAGATGGTGATCAGGAAAACAATAGATTGACATATCTGGATGAAGTGAAAGGGCAATTGCCTTCATGAAATATTGTTTTTTCTTCCCCAAAGCAGGAATTTAAATCTCTTACAGATCCCGAGCGGCACAGATAGGCGAAATCCGTGAGGGCAGTGATCTTCTCAGACGCTCTGTTGCTGATGTACGTTCCTGGTGACAGTGATGGTGATGCCGCAGGGGAAAGACATGGGAGATCGAGGGAGAGGAAGGGAGTGAGAAGGCCATCAGAGGAAAGGCACGGACAGCAGTGATCTTCTCAGACGCTCTGTTGTGTTGCTGATGTACGCCCCTGGTGACGGTGACGGTGATGGCGATGTGGCAGGGAGGAAGAGGGAAATGAATCTGCAACATATAAACCGCGTGTAAGAAGGCAAGTTTCTAGTCAACTCAGCCTGTGAGGGTTGTGATCTTCTCAGACGCTCTGTTGCTGATGTACGTTCTTGGTGATGGTGATGCCGCAGGGGACGCCAAGTTAGACGGCACAGAGGTGAAAGGAAACGTGGGAGAGGAGAAAGGTGATAAGGCCGGAGAGGGACAGAGAATGGAAGGAAACGTGACGCGACAGAACGAACGAACGAACGAACGAACGAACGAACGAACGAACGTCCGTCGAGCGACGGCACGATCTCCACCTAAAGTGCAAGTTAGTGATGTTTCCTGCAAGGATTTATAGATTACCTGTGGTAACCCGAGTGTCAGCTCCAAGCACGATTCCCCCGTCGTACGCCACTCCCATGATTGTCGTCTGAGGAAGAAAGCAAGGGAAGCAGGCGATTCGAGCAAAACAATCGTTGCGACGCCTCTAGGTTTGTGCGGATTAACTCAGGGGAGTTACAAAATGACTAGGAGAAGGTGAGGAGGAAGTTGAGGCCGCGACATCCCAAGAGCCAGCAATTGGGATGGTGAAAGCAAGGGCTAGAGGGAGGCCTGGCACAAAAGAGGTGAGAAAGATATGCAAATTCGCTGACCGGAAAAACACCTGTGAATTTCACAGTATTTTCACGGAAAGGTCTGAATCTGGCAAGTCTCGGTCATGTAGCATGTATTGACCACACGCGAGATTCCCCTGAATCCGCAAAAATATTGCTGATGAAAAACAATCCGTTCATTCTGATAAAATAACTGCGCGCATGATTTCCCTGAATCCAGGAAAGACAAGTAGCAGCTCCTGGACTTGTATTGCGAAAATCATGCTACTCTGCAGACACGAAGATTGCTAAGGCCTTAGAATGACTTCCGCGTGAAATCGCTTTCCGGGAATGCTAACCGCAGAACGACGCACGGAGGAACAGCTGGAACAATCAAAACCAATTCCGAAGCGCCTCACAAGCCCGCTAGCTGCCGATGGGATCTGAACCAGGATCTACTGTAAACGTAAGGAAAGGTAAGAGATAACATGTATGGAAGCACCCACCCCGGTTGATACGGCTCCATACGAGCTTGAGCAATCGACCTCCATGACGCCGTGACGTGACCCTGCGTCGCACAACCGGGATCGAATGCAGAAGAACAACGACTACTGCGCCTTCGTCTGGGACTAAAAAGAATCGCGTAGCTCAAATTCCCCTGACGAGCAACAGAAAATCTTTGCTTCTCGAACGGATCGGGAAGCTGTATGTATGGCGGAGACGCAAAATGAGACGGCCAAAAGGTCCTCTCTAAAAAGTGCTTTCAAGTTTCATTACAGATTCTCAACCCGAGAACAACTATTTAGGAGGGCAAGACCTGAACCTCGAAGTTGGGAAGCAAACTGGGCACAGTTTGCCTTCCACCACTACTTGGTCTGAGTTTTGCTCTCTTAATATCTAAGCTTGATTACGGGTTTAGCTTTTTCCCTTTTTCTTTAACCTGGTTTAGCTTGTTGACTTCGCTGTGCAGAGGTGTTGCACTGTAACTTGCGCAATGTGTGGCCAATTATTTCAGCTCCTGTGCACCAAACAATTTCATTCACTAAACACTGATTCAGGCTAACATCGCAGATGCATTTCAGTGCTTGATGTACTCCCAAGGATACAGTTTTAGTCGACTCGTGAATGCGCTCAGTGCTTGATAGAGCGCTTGTACTCCTTGAAGGTGCCGTTGAAGGGCTTGGCCACTCCCTTGTCCACCGCCCACAGCTGGTCCACACTGCCACTGATCAGATGCTCGTCGTGACTCACCTGTGGGCGGGGGGTTGTTGAGTGGAGGGAGAGTGGGAGAGTGGGGAGTGGGGGTGAAACAGAGAGGGAGCCAGAGGAGCACAGTTGATCCGCACTGCAACTGAACAGTTGGGAGAGGGAGAAGAAGAGAGAGAGTGAGGGGATGGGGGCAAACAAAAATGTACCAGACAGATGGAAGGGAGTGGGGGGGTTAGGAGCAGGGCTGGGGGGAAGGGGAAGAAATGGTGAAGGGGATGAGAGAAGCACAGTTGATCCATGATGCCACTGCATGAGTCGATTAAAAAGGTGAGTCGACTAAAAAAGGGGAATAGGAGGGAGTGGGTTGAGGGCATGAGAGATGCATGTAGATCCATGAGAGATGCATGTAGATCCATGAGAGATGCATGTAGATCCATGAGAGATGCATGTAGATCCATGAGAGATGCATGTAGATCCATGAGAGATGCATGTAGATCCATGAGAGGAGCACAGCACAGTTGATCCATGGAGCTGCTGATGAGATGCTCGGGGAAATGCTGCTGAAGCGGAACGACGGGGCTAAGCGGGGGCATGCACGGGGAGGGGTGGGAGTGGTTGAGGGGATGAGATGAGAGATGCGCGTAGAGGAGCACAGAGAACGAAGCTGGGGACACAACAGCCATCCTGTGCAAGCGTGGCACACCACATGACATGCTTGTGCCAGTCGGGCCATGTCCTGCGCCATCTCACCTTGCACCACGCCCTGCTCACCACCATCACCACCATCTCATGCTCATCTCCTGCCCATCCCACACCCACACATGCCCAATGAGCCCACCCATGCCCGATCAGCCTTGCACGCACCCATGACCGGCAAGACTCACCATGAGAACGCCGCCTTGGAAGAGAGCAAGGCCCTGAATCAATGCCTCCACTGCATCAATGTCCTGGTGGTGGGGAAGGAGGGGTAGGGCACACGGACACAAGGGTAAGAGAATTTGAGTGCGCTGTGGTGCAAGAGAGAGCAAGGCCCTGAATCAACGCCTCCACTGCATCAATGACTTGATGGGGCGAAGAGAGGGGAGGGTACGAGGACGAGAGGTGGGGGGGAAAGGGGGGATGAATGCGGTCACAGAAGCAAAGAGCAAGGCCGTACATCAATGTCCTGAAGGGAGGGCACGAGGAAGAGAGGACAAGAAGGCAGAGGGCAAGAGGAGAGAAGCACAGGAGGAGATGAGTGAGTGATGGCAACCGTCGAGGCTCTGAACCAACGCATCCACAGCGCCGGGCAACCCAAGGAAGCAAAGGCCAGGAAATTGCCCGGGAAATAGCAGGAGAAATTGGCAGAAAATATAAGGGAAAGCATGGTGGGGGAGCATGGGCACGGGGCTTCCGATCGACTTAAAGTCACCCTGACACAGGCAGCTGTGGGATAGCACAAGGCAAGTCATGCAGGGGAAGCATGGGCAAACGGCTGAGGTTGCTACCAGGTGCTGTGACTATACCAGATGGTTGGAGGGCTCGTCGAGCAACAGAATGTGCGGCTTGTGGAATGTGATCTTAGCGAAGGACACTCGACTCTTCTGCCCTCCTGCCATGTGAACCAGCAGGCATACGGGCAACACGCAGAACATTAGTTGCGGTCTCAGCAGGAACGCCTATTATCTACCTACTGATTACGATATGACTTTTGACATTGCTCAGTAGTCCCCTAAGAATACATGAGCTACACGCACAAGAGCAGGGAAGGAGGGGGCGTAGCGCACCTGAGAGTGTGTACATGGGCTGCAGCGCACCTGAGAGTGTGTACATGGGCTGCAGCGCACCTGAGAGTGTGTACATGGGCTGCAGCGCACCTGAGAGTGTGTACATGGGCTGCAGCGCACCTGAGAGTGTGTACATGGGCTGCAGCGCACCTGAGAGTGTGTACATGGGCTGCAGCGCACCTGAGAGTGTGTACATGAGCTGCAGCGCACCTGAGAGTGTGTACATGGGCTGCAGCGCCAGACTGCCTCCCAGGCCAAAGGAGCCCAGATGCGACCTCAGCTTCTGCTCCGGTACTCCCTGCGAGAGAGGGAGAGGGAGAAAGGAAGCATTGGTGGGGAGGGAAGAGGAGGAAAACCGCGTGGTGCATTGGGAGGTGACAGAAAGAGTCAGAGGAACACGCATGCAGATGCGTATCCACATTGATGCATGAATGTGGTTGCCTTCTGGCGAACAATGGGGCTGAAGCAAAGTGCTGGGAAAAGGAGGCCTGAAGGGAAGTGCTGGAAAGGAGTGGGTAAGGAAGGCGCAACAAAGGAGTAGATGAAAGAACAGGAAGGACTGGGCGAACGGAAGGTACAGGAAAGGAGGTGGTGAAAGGAAGGCACCAAGACGGAGCAGGCAAAAGGAAGGTAACAGGAAGTAGTGGGTGAAAAGGAAGGTACAGGAATGGAGGGGTTGAAAGGGAGGCACCGAGAAGGAGGGGGTGAAAGGAAGGTACCGGGAAGGAATGGGCCATGTAGAGCAGAGGCGACTTGGAGAGCTCGAGGCCGTCCACGTGATGCTGGGCGAACACTGCCATGCGCACCTGGTGCATGGTGCATGGGGGTGCATGGGGGTGCACGGGGAGGGGGTTGCATCGGCAGACGGGTGCATGGGGAGAGGGGTGCATGGGGAGAGGGGTGCATGGGGAGAGGGGTGCAGAGCGGTGGTGGGTTATATCTGTGCACAAGGAGAGCTCGAGGCCGTCCACGTGGTGCTGGGCGAACACTGCCATGCGCACCTGGTGGTGCAAGGGGAGGGGGGGCGCATGAGAAAGGGTGGAAAGTAGATACACGTGCCAGACGGCATGAATTACGAGCGTGCAAGCACGAGAGCTCGCGGCCATGCATGTGGTGCTCACATGATGAAGGGGAGGGGAAGGGAGTGGGAGCACGGATGAGTGTCATGGGGTACACATACACGCCGTGTGACATAGGTTACACTAGTGCACATACCCCAAGAGAAAGCATGCTTAAGGTATTTTTGGTCAGGGTTTGAAGGAGAAACTCATACCTTAGGGGAGCGGAATAGAGTCCCTGAGGTGGGCTTGAGCTCGCCCGATATGAGCTTCAGCAGCGTGGTCTTGCCGATGCCGTTAGGCCCCACGACTGGGTTGGGGGATGGGAGATGGTGAGAAACCTTTTGAGCAAGGAAAGCACATGGCAGCATGGCAAGAAGAGGCACATACCAGCACGGCCGGGGCCACATACTGGCGAGTCGGCTGTCGAGGTCGATGCCAAAGTTGAGGTTCTTGAAGAGCACATGGCCGCATGGCAAGTAGTACATGACAATATGGCAGGTGGCACATTTGAGCATGGCAGGAAGCACGTACTACCACAGCGACAGGCACATACTGGCGAGTCGGCTGTCCAGGTCGATGCCAAAGTTGAGGTTCTTGAAGAGCAGCGGCCCGCCGGGGTAGCCGAAGTTCACATCGCTGCAGACAGGAAGGGAGGGGATGGGCGTTGCATACATGCCATGCCATGCCATGCCATGCCATGCCAAGACGAGGGAGGAGGTAAGACGTGGGTGCACAAGAGAAGGACGGCACAAGGCAGCATGGCATATAGATAATAAAAGAGGCCCGTATCAAGGGAGCTAGAGGACGCGCCGCTGCAGGCAGGCAGGTAGATGCGAGGGACGAACACGAGGGGGCAATGGGGTCGTTCACGGGAGAATCGTTGGAGGAGTTACAAGTGGGTTGTTGAACTTGCTACAACCAAATCGATGTCAGCTTGAGAGCTTTGCGGCGTTTGCAAGTGTGCTTGCGAGCATGCGAGTTGTTGTGAGAATGCAAGGCGCCTCGAAGGTTGTAGCAGGTCGATGTGCAGCGTGCGCTTACAAGCACGCGAGTCATGAGGAGCTTAACAGCGTGTGCTGTGACACGCAGCCCATGGCTCGTGACACACCGTCAATGGGCTACTGTGAGTGATTGGCTCATGTTACACCAACAACCAGGTGCCCCCAGTGCCCCCAGTGCCCCCAGTGCCCCCAGTGCGTCTCATGCACCCAGCATTGCCACCACTCACGTGCACCCAGCATTGCCACCACTCACGTGCACCCAGCATTGCCACCACTCACGTGCACCCAGCATTGCCACCACTCACGTGCACCCAGCATTGCCACCACTCACGTGCACCCAGCATTGCCACCACTCACGTGCACCCAGCATTGCCACCACTCACGTGCACCCAGCATTGCCACCACTCACGTGCACCCAGCATTGCCACCACTCACGTGCACCCAGCATTGCCACCACTCACGTGCACCCAGCATTGCCACCACTCACGTGCACCCAGCATTGCCACCACTCACGTGCACCCAGCATTGCCACCACTCACGTGCACCCAGCATTGCCACCACTCACGTGCACCCAGCATTGCCACCACTCACGTGCACCCAGCACCATAATCACTCACGTGAAGCTGATGATGGGCGCCTGTGGCCGGTCCTCTGGCGTGGGGAACTCAAAGCGGTACCTGTCGAGAGAGTACGGGGTTGGCGTGGGGTGGGTTGGGATGGGTGGGATGGGGTGGGTTGGGATGGGTTGGAAAAGGGTGGGGTGGGGCGCGGTGAGGTAGGTTGGGTTGGGTTGGGTTGGGTGGGGTGGGGTGTGAAAAACAAAGTTGGGCAGGCCTTCTAGCAGCAGCAGATTCAAGGCGCTTAGTTTCAAGGCGATAACCTTTGGGTGGGTGTACGATAACCCGCCCAAAGGCCCCACCCACTCCGCCCCCCGTCACTGCCTTTTCCCCCACCCACTCCGCCCCCCGTCACTGCCTTTTCCCCCACCCACTCCGCCCCCCGTCACTGCCTTCCCCCCCACCCACTCCGCCCCCCGTCATTGCCCCCCCTCCACTCTTCCCGCCCTCCACTCCCCCCACTCACTCTGGGTCTGCCACCACCGAATCCACGGTGCCAATTCTCTCCAGCGCCTTCTAGCCGATTCCACTCACTCTCCACCCTCCCCGCCCTCCACTCATCCCCCCCCTCCCTCCACTCCTCCCACTCACTCTGGGTCTGCCACCACCGAATCCACGGTGCCAATTCTCTCCAGCGCCTGCAGGGGAAAGAGGGCGGGGAGGGGGAGGACAGGAGGGGAGGCGGAGGACAGGAGGGAAGGGGGAGGGGAGGAGAGGAGGGGAAGGGGGCGAGAGGGAGGGGAGGGGTGGGAGAGGGAGGGGAAGGGGGAGAGAGGGGAAGGGGGAGAGAGGGGAAGGGAAATGAATAGCACAGAGGCGAAGAGGGGTGCAGAGTTAGAGTGGCAAAGATGGAGAGAGGTCCGAAGGAGGAGTGGAAGAAAGTGTGCAGAGGGTGAGAGGAGAGCAGATGGGAGGAGGGGGGTAAGGGTGAAGGGGGAGGTTGCATGTGGAAAAGTCACAGGAGAAGGGCAACGGAAAGGGGAGCGGGTGGGGGGGGAGGAGCCATGATGGCTGTCGAAACGAGGAGAACTTGAATCAGAGTGAGATACGTGGATTGAAAACGGGGGGAGGTTGCACATATAGAATAACAGGAAATGAGCAATAGAAAGGGGGGCGGGTGGGGTGGGGGGGGGAGGAGACACGATGGCGGTTGAATCCAGAAAACAAAAAAGAATCAGAGTGAGATGCGTGAGTTGCAAAAGGGGAGGGCAAAAAAAAAGGGTCTTAGTGAGATGCGTGGAGAAGTTACAGGAATTGTTGGAAGAGGGGGGGGAGGGAAGGGGGGGGGGTGGGGAGGGGAGAAGACACGATGGCAGTGGAATGAAGGAAAGGGTGGAAGCGAGTGAGATGCGTGGGTGGCGCGAGTGAGATGCGTGGGTGGCGCGAGTAAGATGCGTGGGTGGCGCGAGTGAGATGCGTGGGTGGCGCGAGTGAGTGGGGCAGAGAGGACTCGGGCATGGGCGAAAGGAGGCACCTTGATTCGCGACTGCACGAGGGACGCGCGCTTGGCATTGTAACGGAACTTGTCAATGAAGGCCTGTGGCAGCAGATGCACACACAGGGAGGGAGGCACGGGGAGGGAGGCACACAGAGGGAGGGAGGCACGGGAGGATGCACACAGGGGGAAGGCACAGGGTGGCAGACACACACACACACACACACACACACACACACACAATGGCGTTTTGATGATGTTCTATCCAACAAGGTCTGCACGAGGGACGCGCGCTTGGCACTGTGGCGGAAGTCGTGGGTGAAGGCCTATGGTGAGTGTGTACAGGGTTGCGCACCACACATAGTGATGTATGCACAGGGTTGCAGACACACACACATAATGGCGTTTTAATGATGTGTTATCCATCGGCCGCCATGTTCTGGTTGTGGATGGTCTTGTTGGCACAGCATAGCATGGCACGGCATGGCATGGCACGGCATGGCATGGCACGGCATGGCACGGCATGGTATGGCACGGCATGGTATGGCACGGCATGGTATGGCACGGCATGGTATGGCACGGCATGGCATGGCACGGCATGGCATGGCACGGCATGGCATGGCACGGCATGGCATGGCACGGCATGGCACGGCATGGTATGGCACGGCATGGTATGGCACGGCATGGTATGGCACGGCATGGTATGGCACGGCATGGCATGGCACGGCATGGCATGGCATGGCATGGCATGGCATGGCATGGCATGGCATGGCATGGCATGGCATGGCATGGCATGGCATGCAGGACAGCAGGGGCTTGGGAGAGCACCCATACAAGGAGCACATGGCAACGGGGTGCCCACCTGGATGTGAGCGCGCTTGGCGTCGTTGGCCTCGGCCGCCTTGTTCTGGTTGCGGATGCGCTCGTTGGCACGGCATGCATGGCGTGCAGGGGGCATGGCACGTCATGGGACAGATGGCATCTCAAAGAGGCTCCCACCTGGATGTGAGCGCGCTTGGCGTCGTTGGCCTCAGCCGCCTTGTTCTGGTTGCGGATGCGCTCGTTGCGCGTCTTCTCAAACGTGTCGTAGTTGCCCTGCTCGTGTTGGTGTTGGGCAGCAGAGGGGGAGAGAATGCAATGGGTGGCATAAGTGTAGGCAATAGGAACACAAGTGCATGGGAGTGACACGCGCGTCTTCTGAAACGTGTCGTAGTTGCCCTGCTCGTGCAAACCAGGCCCCATGGAGCAAAGGGTGAGACAATGGAGGGGGGAAGGGAGGAAGGGAGTGTATGGGGGTGCGAAGTGAGACTTCTCAAACGTGTCGCACTTGCCCTGTTCGTGGCAGCACGCATTGGGTGGCAGAAGGAAAGTCAGCAGGCACACAACGCGGGGGAGGCGGCACATATTCTGTGAGTGAGTTCGTGGCATTACCAACCTTGTAGGTGGTGAGCTTCTGGTTGTGCAGGTGAACGATGGTGTGACAACGATGTTGGGGAACTCGCGCGCATGGGACACAACCGTGCTTCCCTTCCTCAGGACTGACCATTCGTGCTTCCCTGCTTCAATGCCCTTACCCACCTTGTAGCAAGCGAGCTTCTGGTTGTGCAGGTGAACGATGTCCGTGACAACAGTGCTGAGGAACTCTCTAGTATGGCGCACACAGTGCTATTCATGACACTGCTCCCCAGCATAGGCCTTGTGTGAGAGCGAGCAAGTGCGTGCCAGCACGGACCTTGTAGGTGGTGAGCTTCTGGTTGTGCAGGTGAACGATGTCCGTGACAACAGTGTTGAGGAACTCGCGTGCATGGGATGGGACACCCCAGAGCTCCCACCACTGACCTTGTGAGTGAGTGAGCAGCGACAGACACCACGTGAGTGTGCGGAAGTGGGTGCGTGCCAGCATTCACTCAGGTGCACGAACCTTGTAGCAAGCAAGTTTCTGGTTGTGCAAATGAACAATGTCCGTGACAACGGTGTTGAGGAACTCGCGAGCATGGGACACCACCACCAGCGTCTTGGGCCACGTGAGCAGATGATCCTCCAGCCATAGAACTGCATGCAGGTCGAGATGGTTCTGGGGGAAACGGAGAGGGCAAGAGGGAAAGGGAAAAGGAGAAGGCATGAAGGAAAAGGGGAAGGGTGGAAGAGCAAGTGAGTAACAGCCTTGGGCCACCAGCGTCTTGGGCCCCGAGGGCAAATGATTCTCCAGCCATAACACTGCGTTCAAGTCGAGAAGGCTCTGAGAGAGAGAAAGAGGGCATGAGGGGAAGGGGAAGATGAGGTCCGAAGGGGAGAGAAGAGAAAGCTCAAGGGCAAGGCAACAAGAGGCTTGGGCCACGAGAGCCGATGGTCCTCCAGCCAGCCATAACATGGCGTGCAAGTCCATATGGTTTTGATTTGAGGGATATGGGCTAGTCCAGCAGCGGCAGGTCCGGTTGGATGAAGAGCACAGCTTGCTTCGTGGATCCCAGGCAACGCATGCATGATGACTCCACAACACTATTCCAGCCAACGCATGCATGATGACTCCACAACACTATTCCAGCCAACGCATGCATGATGACTCCACAACACTATTCCAGCCAACGCATGCATGATGACTCCACAACACTATTCCAGCCAACGCATGCATGATGACTCCACAACACTATTCCAGCCAGCCCCATTGACCTCACCGTGGGCTCGTCCAGCAGCAGCAGGTGGGGCTGGATGAAGAGCGCGCCTTCATTCCGCAACAACACGGTGAGCCATCGCTCCCAGTGCATGCATCATGAACCCTTCAACCCCACTGCACCCTACACCCACCGTGGGTTCATCCAGCAGCGGCAGGTCGGGTTGGATGAAGAGCGCAGGTTGCTTCATCATCAGTCATACCGCACTGCAAGCAAGCATCACGACTGAGCCCAGAGACAACCCGCACTCGCCACACTTAACCCAGTTGTACCATTGAACTCACCGTGGGTTCATCCAGCAGCAGCAGGTCGGGCTGGATGAAGAGCGCGCGGGCGAGCGACACTCGCATGCGCCACCCTCCTGAGAAGGTCCGCGTGGCTCTGTTCTGCATGTCCTTGGTGAAACTCAGACCCTGCTCACAGAAGAGGGATGGATGGACACGTGGGGACGGGGACGTGAGGACATGAGGTTAGTTGAGGTGCCTCTGAAGAGGGAATTATCACAGAGTTTCAGAAAGAGGGAGACTCGCATGTGCCGCCCTCCTGAGAAGGTCCGCGTGGCGCGGCTCTGCATGTCCTTGGTGAAGCTCAAGCCCTGCCGAGGGAAGCAGGGAGACATAGGGGTGGAGGTGGGGACAAGACAAAAAGATCACTTAACGTGCCTCAGCTCAGAAGAGAGAGCCACTACGCATCTCAGAAAGAACCGCACTCACATCCACCACCCTCCAGGTCCGTGTGGTGTGACTCTGCATGTCCAAGCCTGGACTAAGTAGCGCGCGCGGACCACGTCAAGCGGGCGGACCACGTCGCGCATGCAATCGTATTTTACATTATATAAACTGTAATAGAATATTAATATTTCCTGTACTGTAGACTGAGCGTAGAAACCATTCGCGGACCAAGGCGCGCGCGCGGACCAAGGCGCGCGCGCGCGCGAAGACCAAGGCGCGCGCGCGAAGACCAAGGCGCGCGCGCGAAGACCAAGGCGCGCGCGCGAAGACCAAGGCGCGCGCGCGAAGACCAAGGCGCGCGCGCGAAGACCAAGGCGCGCGCGCGAAGACCAAGGCGCGCGCGCGGACCAAGGAGCGCGCGCGGACCAAGGAGCGCGCGCGGACCAAGGCGCGCGCGCGAAGACCAAGGCGCGCGCGCGAAGACCAAGGCGCGCGCGCGAAGAACAAGGCGCGCGCGCGAAGACCAAGGCGCGCGCGCGGACCAAGGCGCGCGCGCGGACCAAGGCGCGCGTGCGGACCAAGGCGCGCGCGCGGACCAAGGCGCGCGCGCGGACCAAGGCGCGCGCGTGGAACAAGGCGCGCGCGAGGACCAATGCGCGCGCGTGGACCAAGGCGCGCGCGTGGACCAAGGCGCGCGCGTGGACCAATGCGCGCGCGTGGACCAAGGCGCGCGCGTGGACAGGCGCGCGCGTGGACCAAGGCGCGCGCGTGGACCAAGGAGCGCGTGGACCAAGGCGCGCGCGTGGACCAAGGCGCGCGCGTGGACCAAGGCGCGCGCGTGGACCAAGGCGCGCGCGTGGACCAAGGCGCGCGCGTGGACCAAGCGCGCGCGTGGACCAAGGCGCGCGCGTGGACCAAGGCGCGCGCGTGGACCAAGGCGCGCGCGTGGACCAAGGCGCGCGCGTGGACCAAGGCGCGCGCGTGGACCAAGGCGCGCGCGTGGACCAAGGCGCGCGCGTGGACCAAGGCGCGCGCGTGGACCATTGCGCGCGCGTGGACCAAGGCGCGCGCGTGGACCAAGGCGCGCGCGTGGACCAAGGCGCGCGCGTGGACCAAGGAGCGCGCGTGGACCAAGGCGCGCGCGTGGACCAAGGCGCGCGCGTGGACCAAGGCGCGCGCGTGGACCAAGGCGCGCGCGTGGACCAAGGCGCGCGCGTGGACCAAGGCGCGCGCGTGGACCATTGCGCGCGCGTGGACCAAGGCGCGCGCGTGGACCAAGGCGCGCGCGTGGACCAAGGCGCGCGCGTGGACCAAGGCGCGCGCGTGGACCAAGGCGTGCGCGTGGACCAAGGCGCGCGCGTGGACCAAGGCGCGCGCGTGGACCAAGTCGCGCGCGTGGACCAAGGCGCGCGCGTGGACCAAGGCGCGCGCGTGGACCAAGGCGCGCGCGTGGACCAAGGCGCGCGCGTGGACCAATGCGCGCGCGTGGACCAAGGCGCGCGCGTGGATCAAGGCGCGCGCGTGGACCAAGGCGCGCGCGTGGACCAAGGAGCGCGCGTGGACCAAGTCGCGCGCGTGGACCAAGGCGCGCGCGTGGACCAAGGCGCGCGCGTGGACCAAGGCGCGCGCGTGGACCAAGGCGCGCGCGTGGACCAATGCGCGCGCGTGGACCAAGGCGCCCGCGTGGACCAAGGCGCGCGCGTGGACCAAGGCGCGCGCGTGGACCAAGGAGCGCGCGTGGACCAAGTCGCGCGCGTGGACCAAGGCGCGCGCGTGGACCAAGGCGCGCGCGTGGACCAAGGCGCGCGCGTGGACCAAGGCGTGCGCGTGGACCAAGTCGCGCGCGTGGACCAAGGCGCGCGCGTGGACCAAGGCGCGCGCGTGGACCAAGGCGCGCGCGTGGACCAAGGTGCGCGCGTGGACCAATGCGCGCGCGTGGACCAAGGCGCGCGCGTGGACCAAGTCGCGCCTGCCCCTCTTAGAGGAGAGGCGCCTGCCTCTTAGAGGAGAGGCGCCTGCCTCTTAGAGGAGAGGCGCCTGCCTTTTAGAGGAGAGGAGAGGCGCCTCTTAGAGGGCGGAGGGCGGAGGGCGGAGGGCGGAGGGCGGAGAGGGCGGAGGGCGGAAAGGGCGGAGGGAGGAGGGCGGAGGGCGGAGGGCTGAGGGCGGGGGCGGAGTGGGCAGAGGGCGGAGGGCGGATTAGAGGAGAGGCGCCTCTTAGTGGGAGGAGGTGAAAGTGAGACATGGCCGCTATGACGAAGCAAACCAAGGCACAAGACACCCAGGGAAGAAAGGAAACCTTCCTGTTGTCATTTGCCTTGCCTCACCTTCCCCGAGGGATCAGATACAAAAGGGGCGGGGGAAGAGGACGTGCGGATGTGGGCGGCTCTCTTGCCATTCCTCCTCTCAATCACAGCACGATGGAAGCAGTCCAGGACTCAGCAGAATAAAAATCACTTTTCTCCAACTAATTAACACCTCTGCTCACCACCAGTAACCGCATCCATAACACACTTCCTCCCATCTCCACCTCTCTCGCTTACAGCAAGGATGCAAGCAGCTCGGGACTCAGCAGAGTACGCATCAATCTCCTCCAACCGCTTATAAAGCTCCGCCAACCGTTTCGCCGCCGCCTCATCCTCCGCTGCACCCGCCTCCGCCCCTCCCCCATCCCGCTTCTTCCCCTCCGCCTCCCCGCCCGCCTCCCCATCCTCCCCGCCAGTTTTCCTCGATAGAAGCTGCTTCTCTTCCTCTAGAAGAGCGGTGCGTTCGAGGTCGGCACTGAGCACGCACTGTAGGACGGATGTGTCGTCCCCCACCACCTCCTGCTCCACGTGCAGCACCTGGCACAATCGCGGAATGCCGTCGATCGCATGCATCGCCATGTGCTTCAACAGGGTGGTCTTTCCCGTCCCGTTGCGCCCGATCAGCCCTGCGTGAACAGAAAGGGAGACACAATATCACGGGCGAACGGGCAACGAAACCGGGTTTGAGGCGCATGAAATGAAGCACATTCTTGCTTCTGGGATGGGAGCAGTGCAGCACGAAGGGAGGTATCGTCCCCCACCACGTCCTGCTCCACATGCAGCTCCTGGCACGAGCGCGGGATGCCATCGATCGCATGCATCGCCGCCATGTGCTTTAAGAGAGTCGTATTTCCCGTCCCGTTGCGCCCAATCAGCCCTGCACCCACGGACAGGGAGAGAGACACGGATCGCAGGCAACAGAAGAGGGTTTGGTTTGAGCGCCGATAAAACCTCCTGGTGGGATGGGAGCAGTGCAGGACGGACGGAGGTGGCGTCCCCCACCACCTCCTGCTCCACATGCAGCACCTGGCACGAGCGCGGGATGCCGTCGATCGCATGCTTCAAGAGAGCCGTTTTTCCTGTCCCATTGCGCCCAATCAGCCCTGCACGCAGGGTAGAGCAAGAGCAAGCGAGAGTCAAGGCCAGTAAATGAGTGCGTGTTTGACTGGTGTGCATAGGCCACATGCAGCACGTTGACGTCGCATCCCACCCTCCACCTGTAATTTTCTTCTCCCCCTCTCCTATTCTCCCATTTACCACCCATGACATCCGCACTCCACCACTCCAAACCCCCATCACACCGTATCTCCTGCCAAAGGCGAGGGTGATAGATGCATCGCTGATGAGGTCCTCGCCCGCCATGGTGACGGTGACTCAGATGGATGTCCCTCGCCCTGCCCCCTGTGATCCCCTCCACTCCCCCACTCCCCCTCTACCCATCTACACCCCCTTTTACCGCACTCCACCGCTCTAAGCCCCACCGTATCGCCGCCCAAAGGCGAGGGTAATAGAAGCGTCGCTGATAAGATCTTTCCCCGCGACGGTGACGGTGAAATTGCTCAGTTGGATGCCCCTCGCCCCACCCTCCTCTGCACTCTCCAACCCTTCTCTACCCCTCTTAATCCTACCGCACTCCACCGCTCCGAACCCTACCGTATCTCCTGCCGAAAGCCAGAGTGATGGAAGCATCGCTGATAAGATCTTTCCCCGCCACGGTGACAGTGAAGTTGCTGAGGTGGATGTCCCTCGCCCCGCCCCCCTGTGCTTCCCCCTCTCTCCCTCTACCCCTCTCAACCTCTTCAACTCTACCCCAACTGCACTCCACCGTTCCAAACCTCACCATATCTTCGCCCAAAAGCCAGAGTGATGGAAGCATCGCTGATGAGGTCTTTCCCCGCCACGGTGACGGTGAAGTTGCTGAGGTGGATGTCCTTCGCCCCGCCCTCCGTGCCATCGCCCCCGTGCGACACCGTCACCATCGGCATGGACGATAGAATGGCTTCGCTCTCCTTCACATGCGCCTCGTACGCGTCCTGGGGCGAGGGCACGGAGTGGAGGGAGGCAGAGCACGGGGGGGGGGGGGGGGGGGGGGGGGGGGAGGGGGGGGGAAGGGGAAGGAACAGGGAGGTGGAACACCGTCACCAGCGGCATCGACGATAGAATGGCTTCGCTCTATTTCACGTGCGCCTCGTACGCGTCCTGGGGTGACAGGAAGCGGAAAAAGGGAAGGCGGAAAGGGGAGAGATGGATGTCCTTCGCTCCGCCCTCCGTGCCGTCACCCCCGTGTGACACCGTCACCAGCGCCATCGACGACAGAATGGCTTCGTTCTCCTTCACGTGCGCTTCGTACGCGTCCTGGGGTGAGGGGGAAGACGGACACGGGGAGGGGAAAGGCGGAAAAGGGGTGAGGGAAAGGGAAGCGGGGACACCGTCACCAACGGCATGGTCGCTTCGCACTCCTTCACGTGCGCCTCGTACGCCTCCTGAGAGGAGAGGAGAGGAAGGGAGGGGATAGCAGAAGGCGGGAGAGGGGAAGGGAAGGGAAACAGGGAGGGGGGACACCGTCACCAGCGGCATGGTCGCGAGAATCGCCTCGCTCTCCTTCACATGCGCCTCGTACGCGTCCTGTGGAGAGAACGTGGAAGGGTGGGCGTGGGCGGAAGTGGTGGGGGGAGGGGGAACGGAAGCGGGGAGAGCGAAGGAGAAGGGGGAAAGGGAAGGCATCAATCAGCATGGACGGACGTCAGTTAGCGGAACATGCACCTCGCCTTGCATGCATGCATTCTGCAAAGGCGATGTGCCTGCAGCAAAGGAGAGAAAGGGCATATTGCCAACACCCCTTCCTCCCCTCCCCCTTTCCCCCATCCCACTTCCCCCCCTCCCCCCTCAGCGAAACCCTGAGACCCACCATGCGCTGGCGCTCGTCCTTGCGCTTGTTGCGCTCGAGCTTCCGCAGATCGCGCTCCGTCACGAAGTACATGGACTCCTCCTCCCCCTCCGCCGCCACCGCCTGAATCACCCCCGTCTTCCCCTCCCCCAGCAGCGCCTGCTCCGCCATGCCCTCCCCCATGCGCATCGGCGCCCCCAAGCTCCGCACGTTCTCCGCCGAGGCTGCGGCATGGGTATCGCCGAACCTGGCGGCTAGGGTTTGGAAGAAGGCGCGCGCGGAGGAAGCGTCCGGGAAGCAGCCGACGTTGAGGAGGAGCGGCCCGACGGCGTCGTACGCGAGGTCGCCACGTGGACCGAAGTCAAACGTCTCATCCTGCCGGGCGGGAGTGGGGGAGGTGGGGGGAGAGGGTGGTGTGGGGGGAGAGGGTGGGGGGGGGGGGTTTGAGGAAGAGGGGAGAGTAGATTCGGGACGTAGCGACATCGTATGCGATGGCGTATGCGAGAGTTCTGAAATCGATGGCGTCGTAAGCGAGATCGGCTAGCGGACCGAAGTCAAAATTTTCGTCCCGGGGGAACGGAGGGAAGGGTGCGAGGAGTACATTCAAGACGAGGTGACTATTGAGAGTTCTAAAAAGCGACAGCATCGTAGTCCCGCGAACCGAAGTCTAGCGCCTTGTCCTGTTGAACGGGAAGAATGGAGGAAAGAGATTCGGGACGTGGTATGAAAGAACGGAATCAGTAGCTACTGTGTTGTAAGCACTTGAAAAATGTAAGGCGAAATCGCCATTATAGTAAATCGACAGGACAAAGTAAATCGACAGGTCCAGTAAACTAGTCGGGTGCAGTGAAGTCGTCAGATTCAGTGAACTCGTCAGACGCGAATTCGACCATTATCAGGCTAACAGCTGATTGTCATTCAGTGAACTCGTCATCACGTCGGACCCTCACGCTATGAGAGTCAGTGACGACGTCAGATTCGATAACGCTGACAGACTCAGTCAATTCGACCAGTGTCATCACGTTGACACCTCGCGCTATGCAATCAGCTTCGCAGATTAACAGAATAAGGACGGCTTATGACAACGGAGAGCTTTCATGTTGATTCTAAACCTCGGCACGAATGTCTGAAAACACATGAAAATACACGAACAGACACGAAAGACACGGATGCAAATATCTTAACGCTCACCTTCAGGACGTTAACGACATAGTCTATGATTATAGGGTCCACTTCATTCGCTGTGGGACCAAGTCCCTGACGAATCGCGGTTGCAATTTCGGCCATGGCTGACTGCTATTCTGCAAGGTGTGACTGGAAGGGATGATGCTGTGAAAAAGGAAATATCAAGGCCTCGACAATGCGGGTACTCGATATTGCATGTTCCGCGTCGATTTCTATCTATAAGCACATCCCCGTAACTTTCCTCAATATGCCCCACACCGAAGGTACATAATTTTGTATTCCTCCAAAATTATACTTTACCGTATACTTGAAGCCAAATAACAGCATGTGCAGATAGGACAATGCTATCTTTTATGAACTACGTATACAGTTTCACAACATCCATAAAGAGTCTGTTCACCCCGGACTTGTGGTCACCGAACTGGGAGTGGCACGCATGGCAGGCACAGTGGGTGGAGTGGCTGATGTCGCTAGTCACTCTGTTTCACGCTGATGACTCGCCAGAGATCCTACCAGGTTAGTTCTATTTGTGATTGTACCTCGTCCGACCATGGAAATCCCGCCAGCCATGCACTAATCCACTCCCTTGTTATCTTACATCGCAGGCATTGACAAGAAACGGGCTGTGAAGGAGTTGAGGACTCTGTGTCCGGTCCTCGCCAGAGCTCCTAAGAGTGAGCGGAAGTTCCACGCGGGATTGACTGCCATCCTCAAGACTCCCGACTGGCAGCAGTCTTACCCCAACCTCGTAGGACTCTGGGTGGCTATTGCAGTCCTGCCTCTCAGCACTGTTGAGTGTGAGAGAGGCTTCTCTCGACTGAACCTCATTAAGACGTGGCAGAGGGGCAGTATTAAGGATTGTAGGCTCGGTGATCTTTTGTGCATGTCATTGCTAGACTATGAGCTAGATTTGCCGGGAGTTGTAGAGATTTGGCGCAGCTACAAGAAGCGCCGGCCTGTCACTGCACCTGCTGCAAGACACAGGGAGCCTTCAAGGGCTGGGAAGGACGCTGTAGAGGTTGATGGTGTAGTTGAGTGTGCTTCTGTAGAAGTTCTCATCTCTGAATCTGATTCAGATACGTGAGATGGTTTATTCTAGTGTTTTTTATGAAAATGCATGAGCTTAAGTTTTACAGGTAACGCTGAAAGTTCAGCCTAAAAAAAATGTGTTGTCTAAATTTCCAGCCAAAAAATTTTAGGCAACGCTGACACACAGAGTTCCAAGAGGGGCGCCCACTGGTCGATCAGTGTGCCTCAAAACGAATCTAGGGGCCTGGTCCGTATACTAAACACACCCAGTGAGTTTGCCAAAACGGGGATAAAAATAACCACCAACTCCTTGCAACTTCCAATAACAGCTTGAGCAATTTGGGCCTCTAGCTTGTCAACCTACACGTACAATACAACTCCCTCCTACAAGTCCCTTGTCAACTCCCCCTTCCCCACCACAACATCAAGTCGTTTTAGCCTCGTATCGCTTCGCTAGCTGCTGACTTCTCGAGTCTTAGGTCCTGCGGCTAGAGCAAGCGGCGTCAAGCAGTCGTTCCTTCCTCATAACCTCAAACACGAGATGGTGCATCCATCTCGATTGGTCTCTCTGTACATGGAAATGAGGCAAGGCAAGGTTCGATAACGTTGACGGCTTATGACAACTGAAACCTCTTTCATGTTGATTCTAAGTCTCGGCATGAATCTTTGAAAATACATGAAAATACATGAATCTGAGCGTTTCCGTTCTCCTTGGCACTTGCACTATAAGTGCGCCTTTTAACCAGACTGACTAATGCACCATTTTCTTTATATATATGCGTTAGATACACTTTGTATGTTTGTTAGTTCGCTAGATTAGTATCTTTCCAACCTTCTTTGTCAAACTTATATGCATGTTGTTATCTAGGCTACAATGAGGCTAGCTGTAAGGGGTACACAAATTAGGGTTTGCTATTTGCACCCAACCCCTGCTAGTCACATCCATTCCGCTGTTTCACCTCTTAACATGGTATCAGTCACTAAGTTAGGTCCGTACCTACCGCTAGTTACCCGTGCCTATCCGACGTGCCGTTTCCCCTTGCACCATTCGCTGCGTCTTCCTTGGCTTTCCTGGCGACGCGCCTGACTGGCAGTTTTACCACCTGGTCACGTGCCGCGTCCTATCCTACTGCAACGTCACATTTGACGAGTCGGTTTGCTACTACCGTCTCTTGCCCCACCGCAGTTCCCCGATGCCCCCCCCGCCCCTCTTCCTGGTTCCAGGTTACCCCCCGGTAGACCCCCCCCTTGCCTCGCGTCCTGCTCCCTCAGGTGTGTCTCAGGTCACACCACCCCCCTTGGTTGAGCCTTTGGAGGTCTCCTCAGGCCCCTCTGGCCCGGCTGAGGGGGGTGACCCTGCTGCTGACGACACGGCGGCCTCTCGCCGCTCACCGCGCTTGGAGACTCCTCCTGGTTTTCTGCCTCGGCCGTCTTCGCCGCCTCTGCAGCCTGTCGCTGTGGACTCTGGTGCTGTTGGTGGTGGTGACGCTGGAGGTGCGGGCTCTGGGGGTGCTGGTTCTGGGGGTGCTGGCTCTGGGGGTGCTGGCCCTGCGGGTGGGTTGCACACTGCCATGACGGCCCATGTTTTGGGAGCAGCAGTAGTCGTCGCTGCCACTTCCTGGGTCCGTTGCTTGAGGTTCTGGAGGTACTGGAGCTGGAGGTGCTGGAGATTCGAGTGCTGGAGGTACTGGATCTGGAGGTGCTGGAGGTTATGGTGCTGGAGGTACTGGAGTTGGAGGTGCTGGAGGTTCTAGTGCTGGAGGTTCTGGTGCTGGAGGTTCTGGTGCTGGAGGTTCTGGAGCTGGAGGTGTGGCCACTGAGGGTGAGGGTCGTGCTGGAGCTGGAGGTGTTCCTGGTACTAGTATTGGAGGAGCTAGTTCTGGGGGTGCAGCGCAGCCGCAGCCGCATCGACCATTTTTCTGGGAGCAGCCGCAGTCGTCGCTGCCACCCCCTGGCTCGGCGCTCCACCAGGTTCTCCGTCTTCCGCCAGCCTCTGCAGAGCCGTATGCCGCTGGTACTACTCCTCCTCTACTGCTTCCGCCGCCTGACCTGTCTCAGACACAGTTACCGCCTGACTCCCCACTGCCTGTTCCTTCTCGTTACCCTAAGTTGGCAGACTCCCTGACTGAGCGTCGAGAGCCTGCGTCTCGTTCTGCCTCACCTGTTGCTCGTCGTGCTCGCCGGGTTCGCCCTCCACCTGTTTCAGTGAGCACACTATGGCACTTCATCCTTCATTTGTTGCACAGCGTCCTGCCCTGCCGTCTCCTCCCGCATCATCTCTTCCGGACGTTCCTGAACCTCTGTCTGACCTTGCTCGTGATGCCAGTCCGAATGTCACTCGTTCTCTTGCCATGCTTGTGACGGACCCTATTTTTTTGTCTGCTACTGCGACTGCCTTAGTCACTGAGCTCGTTGACTTTGCTGCTACCTGCCACCTTGGGACTGCCTTAGTCACTGAGCTCATTGACTTTGCTGCTACTGACTTTCAGTCTCGGCACTGGCTCTGTCTCGTGGAGGTCCACTCGCTCGTCTTTAGTGCTTAGCTCTAGCTGTGAGGCCGAGATCTACGTTGGGGCTATGGCTGCGCAGGAGTTACGCTGGTTGACCTACCTGCTCACTGACTTGGGTGAGCGGCCTCGTTCTCCTCCGGTTCGGTACGTTGACAACAAGGCCACGATTGCCTTGTGTTAGGAGCAGAGACTGGAGCAGAGTTGCAGCAGCGTGGACAGCTTCGTCTTCGTTACGTGGCCCTTGGGCCTAGTGATATTCAGCGTTTCTGCACTACTCTAAGCCTTGTGCCAACTCTGCCTCACCTGCTAGTCTCTTGACTTCCTTTTGTACTTGTTGTACTCTAATAGATGACTATACCTGCATGTGTATACTTGCTAGGTTGTGATCACTGTATTGCCCTCGCTATTATATATCTGCATGTGAACTGGCCTTGTGGCCATTTGTTTGTGCTCAGACTGTGTGGTGATCCTGAGATCCACCCTGAACTTTGCTTTGTTTCTTCTCTTGACTAGTTTTGTGACCACTGTTTGCTCTTGCTCTCCCTCACTTAGTCTATGGCGGTGTGTTAAACTTATATGCATGTTGTTATCTAGGCTACAGTGAGGTTAGGTGTAAGGGGTACACAAATTAGGGTCTGCTATTTGTACCCAACCCCTGCTAGTCACATTCATTCCGATGTTTCACCTCTTAACATTCTTACCAAGGGAGACCGCTAAATTCCACGTATTTTGCAAGGTATGAGAGTTTATGTTCTCCCAGGCATTTGAGCTATAAATGCGCACACTGACCAGATTGACCAATGGACCATTTTCTTTATACATATGTGTTAAGTGCCCTTTGTACTTTGCTTGTTCACCAAACTAGTACATTTTCAACCTTTTCATCAAGGGAGACCGCTAGATTCCACATACTTTGCAAGATTTGGGTGTTCCGTTCTCCCTTGCACTTGTACTTTAAGTGCGCACACTGACCATACTAACTAATGCAAAATTTGTTATTTTTATATACATATGCGTAATATATGTTTTGCACTTTGTTATTTCACTAGATTATAAAATTTCCAACCTTCTCACCAAGGGAAATCGTTACATTGCACGTACTGTGCTCGACAACTTTAAGAAGCTCGATATTGCATGTTCTGCCTCGAATATTTATCTCTTTCAGTTTTTTCGAATTTATTACGTTAACGTAATTTCTTTAAAAATATGTTCCAGCTTACAGCCCAAGCATCCATATTGTACATTATTGGGATATTGTAAGGAACTTCTCGACATTCCTTATCGTGCATCTCAACATCGCGTACAGGACCAACCGTTTTTGTCGCCCGTTATAGCAAACGGTGTTTCGCCACATTTGCGCGTCACATTCGCCAAACCTTGCACCGCTATACTGGCCCAAGTCGCCCTATGCTTCGGGACTAGGCCGAACCTCGCTGCCAGCATTGCACTAGCTAGCTCGCACACACCGTGCTACTGTTTGCTCGCTTCGCAAAAAAAAAAAAAAAAAAACTCAAACCTTCGCTCACGTTTGTACTCGTTTGCCAACTTAGTGCAACCCTCGTTTCCCAGCTACATTGTACCCGTAATAGATATCATATGGTTGGAGTTCCATCCGCCAGTTTCAATCCCAATCATTCACAAAGCAACTTTTTGCACCATGTTTAAGGCAATGATATACGTTTTGACCATAGTACGCTACACCGTTGCGTAACACCCTGAAAGCACGTACAACTCATTCAATTTCCTATAACGATGCTCAAAACATAGTACAGTCGATGCTCATATAAATATAAAAAAATAAAGGTCGTCACAATTAGAAATTGAGTCCCTCGCGAACGTTTTTTACCGTGCGTGACTAAATTGAGCATTGCACAAAGTTCGTGGTACAGTCACCAAGTTGCGAAAGCCAATATCTACATTTCATAAACAACAAGGGCTGCCCATCGCGTACGTCATCCAGACATGTTTACCTGGTTACAAAAAATAAACATCACATTCCACTTTCATTCTACTATCACATTTTGCCCGTGTCGACAAGGGAGAAAGTGAGTGAAATGCCAAAACTCGTTACACGCACCCCCGCCCGGCTACCTGGTGTTTTACTAACGAGCATTGTTTGTACTATAATAACCGACCGACTTCCCCATCCACCCTTGGGAACTTCGTGCAACTTCCAAGTTGCAACAACTCACCATTTTCCCACCACTAAGCTGACTCAGCTTGGCGAGTCGTACTCGTGCTGCTAGGGCAAGCAGCGTCAAGCAGTCTGTACACACGAGAGGTTGCAGACAGCCGTCTCGGCCAGTCGCTCCGTACATGATGGACATGAGGCAAGGCACCCGGCTGCACACTACCGTTCCATCATCCGCCTCCTCCACACACTTGCGCGTCACGCCTGCATCGTTGACCTCGCGAGGTCATAAGCTATCCCTGCATCGGAGCTTCGAACAGCTCCAACTGTCCGTACACGAATGCCACGTCAAGGATGCGGCAAGGTCAAGGGTGCAAGGTCAAGGGTGGAAGGTCAAGGGTGCAAGGTCAAGGATGCAAGGTAACTCCGAGGGGCGACCTGCGGAGCTCGCTGTATCCCTGCGTCCGAGCTTCGAACAGCTCCAACCGTCCGTACAAGAAGCAGCGGGAACGATGTTGCGTTATTTCATTAGCGGGAAACTCGAGGTCCTAGAAGTGCCTCGCCCGATACCGGAAAGCTACAAGGTCGTGTTTTTAGTCGACTTAAAACATAACCAGAAGCTGTTGGCAGAAGACATTCCTGCAAATGGAGACTCTTTCCGTTAAGGACAAGGCGCGTCATGCCGTACGGCGCCGTACGCGCTGCAGTCCGATTTATCTCTCAATGTGGAACTGCTTCACGCTGATCTTGTTCGTGTCTTTATTCACGACACGTGGCAATGCAAGCAGCACGCCCGGTTTCCCGGTCCTGACCGGTGATTCTACCTTTTCCGATTATCATTCTTTGCGAGAAAGAATCAAGATTGGGTTCCCGACCGGTGATCCTACAGCGCCCCTTGATCAGTTCTCGCGAGAAACTACTAAGGATGTCGCGGGCAAAAGAACAAGTAGTGGGTCGCTTGTGGTCAGACCTCCCGACTTTCCCACGTCTGAAGGACGCAACGGCGGGAGTCGGCGAAAGCTACTTTCCGCCAGCGACTGGTTACCCGGAGCATCTCGGCGGAAGCAAGGCACTCATTTCGCATCAGCGGGTGATTTGCGAAATGCGATCGACAGCAGGCGTCTTGAAGTGGTCGACCTCAACCCCAATCCGCCTCCGAGCTTTCTTTCGCGAAAGGGTCGGCGAAAGCTGAGAGCTGTAACCAGCAGGCGAAAATATGCAACGTGCGCCAAGGCCCTCCGCTGCCCGGAATTCCGGATGTGCGAAGACGCGGGTTTCGAGGATATTTCCGTCTGCCATAACCCGGATTACAAGGATCTAGCCCCGCGAATCGCGGCGAACGGCACAACGGCTAAGCTCCGGGGAAACGACGAATATGGGCGAGTGGAGGAGGAGGAAGAAGACGAAGAGGAGGAGGAAGGGGGGGAAGACGGGGAAGGGGCGGAAGAAGAGGAAGGGGGAGGGGGGGGAGGCGGGGACGGGGGGAAAGCGGGTCGTGCTGCTCCCAACATGGTGTGGTCGGGGCGGGTGTTTGCGCTGCACGACGTGTATGTGAACAACAAGGGGCAGGTGTTCAACTCCACCCACGTCTTCAACCCCAACGGCTGCTACGCCGAAGACAAGGTGCGTCTGGATGGTTGGAAAAAGGGGGCATGGGGATGGAAGGCTGGAGGGGGGAGGAGCGGGGCGGGGCGGTTGGTAGGGGAGAAAGGGGAGGGCGGGGCCGCGGGGAATCAGTGGGGAAGGAGAGGGTAGGGAAGGGTCAGAGAAGGTTATGAGGGAATCAGGGCGGCTTGCGAGGAAAGGTGAGAACAGCAAGGGTAAGTGCGCCTACTAGACGTCCACTCACCCACCTACCCCACCACCCCTCTCTCTCCCCTTTGTGCACGTCCTTCACGAGCCAAACACCTGGGTTTCCTTCTTATGCCTTTACAGCACTTCCACCCCACTCTCTCACACCCTCCCCCCCCACTCTGACCCCCCCCCCACTCTCACTCCCCCCCCCCCCTTCTCTCATGTAGTTCCACTACGAGGCAGGCACGCGCGTGACCGCCTACAACTCGCTGGTCAACCTGCTGGTCGTTGGAGGCACGCCCGGTGCGCGCCTGCCCTTCCACGAGGTCCTGGAGCTCGTGCCGCTCTTCCTGCCGCTCTCCCACGTGCTCAACAAGCACGGCAAGCCCGCACTCGTCATGCGCGGCAAGAAGGTAACGTGCTGTGCTCGCATTCAGTTGGATTGAATGAGGTGTTCGTACATGTGTGTGCTGTGCTGTGCTCTTCACTTGAACTCCTCCTCCCGTGTGCTTAAAAAGCACGGCAAGCCGGCCCCTCGACATGCGCGGCAGGAAGGTAGTGTGCAGACGTGCATGGGAAATGGTGTGCTCATGCCCCAGCTATCAAACCCATGCCTCGGCTATCAAACCCATGCCCGAGCTTTCGGTCCCATGTTTGTGCAAGCAGCCCCCAGTGTTCTCATTGAGTCCTTATGCGTGCTTCTCATGCCATGCCCTCTGAATGGCGTGTATTGTATAACACGAGCTGATTGTCCTCGTACCATGCATATGCATGGGCTGTGATGGCACGGCATGGCACGTGTTTGTATGGCATGTCTGCAACATTGCTGATATGTCATGTTCCATGTGGGATGTGGAATCTCGTGTGGCATGTGTGACGTGGCATGTGACGTGGCATGTGTGACGTGGCATGTATGACGTGGCATGTGCTGTCCCTCGCAGCTGCCTCGAGTGGTGGGCATCACCATGAATCGCATGCTCTCCTTCGGGGATGCCTCTCGCCTCCTCTTCGTGCGAACGCTCATCCAGGTCCGTTCAAACATCCACCCAGGTGTGTCCGTTCGTCCTAACACTACGCTTCCAAGCACATGCCCACACGCCTCACTCACCCATCCAAACGTCTCTTCCCCCATCCCGCGCCCCTCCTCCCCTCCTCGTTCTCCCTCCCCCCTTGCCACCTCATTTCCCAACACTGCCCAGCTGCACCATGAATAGAATCCTCCCCGTTTTCCCACACACACACCCTTCCCCCACTTTCTACCCCACCTTGCAGCACTGCCACTGCCAGCACCCCAGCCTCTCCCTGTCGTCCAAACTCTCACTTCTGAGCTGCCAAAAACAAACGTGCCCTCGGAAAATGCCACGTCCCCCATCTCACACCCCTCCCTCCCTCTCTCCCCCCCCACCCGCAGCCCACGTTTCAGCACTGCCAGCACCCCAGCCCGTCCCTGTGGACCAACTCCGCTCCTCCCACTTCCTGAAACCCCACACCCCTTCGTCTTTCCCCTGCCCCTTTCCCCGCCTCTGCAGCCCACGTTTCAGCACTGCCAGCACCCCAGCCCTTCCCTGTGGACCAAGCTCCGCTCCTCCCACTTCCTGCAACCCCACCGTCTGCCCCTCCTTAATCCTGATTGGTCCGAGCGCCTTCCCTCCACCTCCCCCAAGACCCTCTCTCCCCCTGCCGCCCTCCCCCCCTGGGAGACAAGTGGGGTGAAAGAGGTGATAGTTCTCGAGCCACCAGCAACAGTCCAGGTGAAGGGATTCGCAGGGATAGTTGAGGGGTTGAAGGGGAAATTTGGCGCCGAGCATGTGAGGCTGCTAGGAAGGTTCCAAAGAGATGATGCCAAAGAGTTGTTTCCCCGGGCGGCGCTGCTCGTCAGCGTCACGAGCGCGTTTCTCGTCAACCTCGCATTCCTGCCGCCCCGCGCCGCCCTGTTGGAGCTCCGCCCGCCGCCCGCTGAGGTGGACGCGGTGATTGCTGACTCAGTCGCCAGGCTGGCAGCGGCTTGCCAGATCCATCACCGCGTGATTCGAGGAAGCTTCGTGGAAGGAGCAGCAGCTGATGATGTGGGGAAAGGGAAAGGGGCCGAGGAGGGTACGGGGAAGGGTGCGGTGGAGTGGAGGAGCGGCGCTGTAGAGGCAGCAGCGATGTTTCTGGCTCGAGTGGTGGGGAAAGCATTAACAGCCGATGAGAAAGTAGTGGAGGAGGCAGCTCTGACGGCTGCCGACCAGCGAATGAGAGCCGCACAGCTGGCGCAGGCCTCCACCAGTAAGAAGCCGCTCATTCCCGGCACGCAGATCCAATCTCCACAGTCCGCCGCCCAGTTTCGGCGCTGGCTGCGGTGCGTGAGTCAGCGGGGGCGGTGGGCGTACAACGCCACGCCGCGCATACTCCCTTGGGAGTACCTCGGTACAATGAACCTGTGTGATCACCGGCACAAGGAGACCACCGGGGGACTCGTGACAAAAAAAGCCGACCAGTACATGGTGAAGGGCGGCGCGCCGGGCGGCTGGAGCGTGCGCGAGTCGCTCAAATACGAGTGGAGAACGCCGCTCGGGAAGTGCCCGATCGGGCCGCTGAGGCAGCTCGATGGGGAAATGCTTTGCCGGAAAGTGGAGGGGAGGAAAGGTGGGCTGAATGTGCTGTTTCTGGGGGTTTCCCTGGCGCACCAGATGGTTGTGAGCTTCCTCAACGGCCTTCTCAGACACATTCCCAAGCCTGCGGTGTGGGCTGTGAATGATCCGACCCATAGAGTAAAGGGCTCTAGGGAGGGTGTGGGCCCGTGCAAGGACCCACACCCACCCTTGGGCCCACGAAGAACCCCGGTCGAGAATGGAAGTGTGACCCAAAAAAACAGAGGGCTCTAGGGAGGGTGTGGCCCCGTCCAATGAACCACACCCACCCTAGAGCCCACAATGAGCCGGACCCCTCTCATCCCATCCAGGGCGGTTCGGACCGGACCCATCCCACCCGCGGTGTTTTGAACCGGACCAATCCCCACACGGGAGGTGCGGTCCGGATCCATCCCATCTAGGGTGGTGTGATCCGGATCCATCCCATCCCGGGTGGGGTTATTTGGATCCATCCAGTCCAGGGTGGTGAGATCCGGATCCATCCCATCCCGGGTGGGGTGATCCGGATCCATCCCATCCCGATTGGGGTGATCCGGATCCATCCCAACCGGGGTGGTGTGACCCGGATCCATCACGCCTAGGGTGGTGGGATCCGGATCCATCGACCCGGTCGATCCGGTTCCCCGCCCGGTTCCAACCCGGATGATCCGGCCGGTCCGGTCCATCCGGTTCCACGTCCGGTTGACCCGGTTCCCCACCCGGTCGATCCGGCCGGTCCGGTAGATCAGGTTCCCCGTCCGGTCCGGTCCATCCGGTTCCAAGTCCGGTTGACCCGGATCCCCACCCGGTCCGGTAGATCCGGTTCCCCATCCGGTTCCCTACCCGGTTCCGACCCGGTTGATCCGGCTCCCTACCGGGTCGAACCGGTCCCTCACCCGGCTGGGGCGGTTGATCCGGTTCCCCGCCCGGTTGACCCGGTTCCCCACCCGGTTGATCCGGTCGATACGGCCGGTCCTCTAGATCCGGTTCCCCATCCGGTTCCCTGCCCGGTTCCCACCCGGTTGGCCCGGTTGGTCCGACTCCCCACACGATCGGTTCGGCACCCCATGCGGATGAGCCGGATGACCCGGTTCCCCATCCGGATGGTCCGGTCGATCCGGTTCCCGACCCGGTACCCGACCCGGTTCCCCACCCGGATGGTCCCGCTTCCTACCCCAGACCCGGTCGATCCGGTTCCCTTCCCGGATGGCCCGGATGATCCGTTCCCCCGGCCGGATGGTCCGGTCGATCTGGTTCCCGACCCGGTACCCCACCCGGTTGGCCCGGTTGGTCCGACTCCCCACACGGTCGGTTCGGCGCCCCGTGCGGATGAGCCGGATGATCCGGTTCCCCATCCGGATGGTCCGGTCGATCCGGTTCCCGACCCGGTACCCCACCCGGTTCCCCACCCGGATGGTCCGGCTTCCTACCCTAGACCCGATCGGTCCGGTTCCCTTCCCGGATGACCCGGATGATCCGGTTCCCCGGTCGGATGGTCCGGTTGAACCGGTTCCCGACCCGGTACCCCACCCGGTTGGCCCGGTTGGTCCGACTCCCCACACGGTCGGTTCGGCGCCCCGTGCGGATGAGCCGGATGATCCGGTTCCCCATCCGGATGGTCCGATCGATCCGGTTCCTGACCCGGTACCCCACCCGGTTGGCCCGGTTGGTCCGACTCCCCACACGGTCGGTTCGGCACCCCGGTTCCCCATCCCGATGGTCCGGTCGATCCGCCGGGACCCGACCCGGTTCCCCACCCGGATGGTCCGGCTTCCTACCCTAGACCCGGTCGGTCCGGTTCCCTTCCCGGATGACCCGGATGATCCGGTTCCCGGATGATCTGATTGGCTGGTGGATCCCCCCAGGCATGCCTACTGCCGGGTGTACACTTTCAATGAGAGTGTTTGTCCGGGGCTTACGGTACAATTCGTGAGGAATGACCACCTGTGGTTTACTTCGCCTGGAGAAGCTAAGTTTGACCACATTCCATGGCACCTGTACTCAGGGTTGAAGGATGCTGATGTGGTGGTGGTGAATCGAGGCGCACATTTCATCGGAGGGAAGGATTTTGAGAGGAGTGTGCCGGCCGCTTTGGGATTTCTTCGAAAGAAGCTACCCGACGCGCTGATTGTCTGGAGAAATACCCCGCCTGGGCATGCCAACTGCACGTCCTACATCGGGCCAATCAAGAAGCGGCAGAATCCGGAAATTCTGCCGTTCCATTGGGACATGTTTACCCATCAGAACGAAATGGTTCGGACAATGATTCATGATGTGGGAGGTGTGTACATGGATGTGGATACTGCCACAGCATTGAGACCGGATTCGCACAAGGGCTTAGTGGAAGAAAGGGGGGTTCTAGACTGTCTCCATTATTGCACGCCCGGTCCGACGGATATGTGGGTGGAGCTCCTTGGCGATATAATATTGCGTGGAGTGTATGGGGATGGGCTTGCTCCTGTAAGCGTGATGTAAAAAATAGATGTTTCTGTTGTTTAGAACGGATGCGCAGTAACCAGGACCTTTGAGGACGCGGTGAAAGTAGACAATCGATCGTCAGTTGCGATCGGTGTGCGGATTGGTTACCCTGTTTACTCCTGTGTAGCCATGCTACAGTGAGGTTTCTGTCCATTTTTTTTGCACAGTAAGTGAATGCGACTGATCACTGATCGCTGTAAAACTTTCCGCAGCATCAATGTGCAGATGTTGTGCACGAACCTATCACACCATGCACGATTGATGCTGATGCCTGCGAAGTGCTGAAATTTCGCAGAGCGATAACTGAGACGCGCATGATCCTGGCATTTCGCAGAATTTCAAGCTAGTTGCCCTGTTGGTTGCGAAAGTCTCAGGTGTACTTGGGCGAAGGGGTTTTTTCTTAGACGGTGTCGCAGGCAAAGCCGAAATCTTCATTCCGTAACATCCAACCCATCCCGCAGGGGCGATCGTTACAACCGCGTGGGCGCATCGTTTCGCCAACCGATCCGCCCAATCGAGTCTGCGGATCGATATACACGCACGATCCTGCGATATTCTCACTTTCACCGCGTCCTGACGTCGCCTTTTTCGTGATGTTGCAGCTGCTTCGGGTGAGCTGTGCTGCAGTCGCACTGTGCATCGCTGCAAGTGGCTGGTCGGTGCGCTTCAGTCCACGCTCGTCCACCAGCTTCATGAACCCAACTCAAATCACACTGTACGGGCAGCTTCTACTGACCGACCTGCTCCAACAACAGCCAGCCGCGGCTTTCCTACTTCCCCAGAAAGGCCATTTCGGGCAGCACAGCAGCACCCACCCATCGCAACCAACCAAGGCCCCCCCTTCCACAAACCCGTGCAGATGGATCAATCGACGATCACGATTCCCTCGATGTGAGATTTGAGGGGTTGAAATCTTATTCAGCCATTTGTGTGTGTGTTTCAGGCAGCCCTTCCTTTCCAGTGGCTGGGAAGCAGACAGGCAGGGAAGGCATCCCTTTCTGGCGGGTTGTGGCCAGGATCGGTGGTTCTGGTTGCTCAAGGTGGAGCTGAGGGAATGTGTGCGTCGGTAGTTGGTTTGGTACAGATATTCACATCGACGGTTGACCGATGCTCTGGTACAGCATAAAAGCCCGAATTTCGAATCGTACGGTGGATACACTCTGATGGTGTTTCTCACACTGTTCGCGCTAACTACCTCCTCCAGAACTACCTCCGAAACGCAAACCCTGCGTTTCACCCATCATTCCTGCTCGCACGCCCTTTTCGCTCTATTTTTCTGCTGCATTTTCGCTTGAGCTGTTGCTCTGGCTCTCTGTCTTTGTCTGTCGCACATGTTTGTCGGTTGGTTGGTTCGAGCCGTCGGCAGCATCGGATGCATATCAAGTTGCACTGTCTGATCTTTCGAGTTGAAATAGTAGCAAATCGTCGATTCTCGTCCGAGAATTCCGTCAATTGTCGAAATAGTACAGGCGAGTCCGAGGCGGGCTCGCAGGACGACGTTCTACCTTAGTAATTCGAATTAAGGAGCCTTCGTTGCGGATATAATTTGTTAGCTTTCGCGAATAGCTTCGTTTTTGCGGATATAATTTGTTAGTAACATCCTCGTTCCTGACACATTCGGGAGACCAACGTCGGAAAGTTCCTGCGGACTTGCGCAAACCTTTTTGGAAAGATTCGGATTTTTCATCACATTTCGAAATAGCTTATGATTAGCTTCTATGGAGGACGAGGTGAAGCTTAGTAGCGCATTCCATGGCGGATCAGACATGGATTTCGACGTCATGTCTTCGAGAAACCCTGACGGGGACTTATGGGGGATTGGCGACTTTCAGATAGGTAGCGTCGGTGACGGAATGGTTTCATCTATCGAAGGAGCGTACGATGCGCTTATACGGGACTTCACGATGCCTGGTAGTAGTGGTTGTAACGCTCCCAATGTCGGCGCTGTTGCAATTGCTGGGACGTCAGCAGTTGGTTCTACTACCGGCGCCGTCACGGTCAGTAATAATAACGTTAGCGGTAACGTCGTGCCGTCAGATGCACGCGATGCATGGAGGAATGAGCAGGCTGTGGTGGCAAATGAAGGGGCGAGGCATGCCGGCATCATGGACGCTGGGTCGTTGGGAGGAGCGCACCTTCAGCAGCAGCAGCAGCAGCAGCAGCAAGGGGTGAAGCAGCAGCAGCAGGGGAGGGAGTCGGTGAAGGAACATCAGGGGGTGCAGTGGGGAGGGTATCGCCCTGAAATGAGCCATTCGCCTGACCCTGGATGCGTCCCTTCACACCTTCATGATCGCTCAAACCCCCCACATCATGTGGACTTTCGGGAACCGCATCAGACTCTTCAGCAGCAGCAGCAGCATCAACAGCAGCAGCAGCAGCAGCAGCAGCAGCAGCATCAACAGCAGCAGCAGCAGCAGCAGCAGCATCAACAGCAGCAGCAGCAGCAGCAGCAGCAGCAGCAGCAGCAGCAGCAGCAGCAGCAGCAGCAGCAGCAGCAGCAGCAGCAGCAGCAGCAGCAGCAGCAGCAGCAGCAGCAGCAGCAGCATCAACACCAGCAGCAGCAGCAGCAGCAGCAGCAGCAGCAGCAGCAGCGTAGCGCTCATCAGCACGAGGTGTTGGAAGAGCAGGGTGTGGGGGGGGAGGGTTCAATGCAAGCGGCTGTGGGAAACAAGCGGCAGAGGGAGGGGGAGCAGCGGCAGACGCCATGTGCTGTGACTGGGTGGCAGCAGCAGCCGGTGCAGGAGCGCGTGGGATTGTCGGTACAGGCGACAAGGGGAACGGCATCACCAGGGGCATTTATGAGCCGAAGCGTCAGCGAAGGTGGGGTGAAGAGACCTGGGAAACAGCAGCAGCACCAACTGCAGCAACAGCACCCCCACCCCCACCACCACCAAGTGCAGCAGCAGCAGCAGGACCCCTTGTTGCGTCACCGCCGGCAGCAGTCCTTTCCGCTGCCGTCCAGTGGGAGCGCGAGCGCCACGTCATCATGGACGTCATCAGGGGCTGTGAGCGAAGGGCGGCGCGTGGGGCAGAGGAAGGGGCGGCCCACGGGAGGCATGGTCATGGGCGGTCTCGGGGGCATGTCACATCAGGGCATGTCACATGAAGGCATGTCACATCAGGGCATGTCACATGAAGGCATGTCACATCAGGGCATGTCACATGAAGGCATGTCACATCAGGGAATGTCATATCAGGGCATGTCACATGAAGGCATGTCACATCAAGGCATGTCACATCAGGGCATGTCACATGGAGTCATGTCACATCCAGCCGTGGATGTTTCCGCTGTGCCGCATCAGCATCAGCATCAGCATCACCATCAGCAACAACAGCAACAACAGCCGCACCAGCAAACTCAAATGCACCAGCAGCAGCAGCAGCAGCAGCACCCTCGCGCATTCTTATCCCCCCCTTCCCCTTCCATCGCCCACTCCCACTCTCACTCCTCCCAAGCCGCACTGCCACTCCGTCTCCCCCACCTCCCCTCCCCATCACCCCTCATGCCCCAACCTCCCCCCACCACCTCCTCTCTTCCTCCCCCACCTGGTAACCATCACCCTCAACAATCACCCCTCGTTACCAGCACCTTCAATACAGTCACAACCAATCCAGACCCTCCCCCTGCCCCGTCCGCTGCCCCCTCTTCCTACCCTTCCGCCACTCCTATGACTGCTCCTTCCGCTGCTCACCTTTCCCCTTCGGAACTTCCCCCCGCCGCTCCCCCCATCATCCCCATTTCAGAAACTCCCCCTGCCGCTCCCCCTATCCCCCCCACTTCACGAAATTCCCCCACCGCTCGCCCCATCTCCCCCTCTGCGCTCCTAAGCGCGCTCTCCTCCCTCCAATCCAAAATATCCGCGTTACAAGTGCTGGTTCCGCTAGTGGCACAATCCGCGCCGTCAGAGGCGCTACAGCAGCAGCAGGAGGTGGCAGCAGTGGGGGTAGCGACGGTGATACAGCAGGTGGCGGCGGCAGCAGTGGGGTTGCTGCCGCCCCACCTGCAGCAACAGCTTGTGGTGCCGGATATTGCCGGGGTGGTCTATGGGAGGAGGGGTGCTTCAGAGGCGCCTGGGAATGCGCAGCAGCAGCAGCAGCAGCAGCAGCAGCAGCAACAGTATCAGCAGCAGCAGCAGCAGCAGCAGCAACAGTATCAGCAGCAGCAGCAGCAGCCGCAGCAGCAGCAACAAGGAGAGCAGCAAGAGCAGTATCACTATCAGCAGCAGCAGGAACAGCAACAACAACAGCAACAGCAACAGCAACAGCAACAGCAACAGCAACAGCAACAGCAACAGCAGTATCATTATCAGCATCAGAATCCATATCAGCAGCAACAGCAACAGAATCAAAATGATCAGCAGCAGCAGCAACAGCAGCAGCAGCAGCAGCAACAGCAACAGCAACAGCAACAGCAGGAGGCGGGCCTTACAGACAACACCAACCAGCAAGAGCAGCAGCAGCAGCAGCAGCAAGAAGATCTGGTGCCTCATATTGAGTTGCTGCGAAGGTTACTGGAAGCTCGCAACCAGCAGCTGCAAGCAGCTCAGGCGAATGAAAGAGAGGGTGGGACGAACGTGGCAGGCCCGGGAGACTTGAGAGAGATGGAGCGTGCAGGTTCGGGTGCTCTGCCTGTTCTTGAGCCGACCCCAAACGTGCAGAGGCCAAGTCTCAGAGGGGATTGCGGTGGGGAAAGGGAAGGACAGGTGAACTGCAGCACGCTGCACGACGAAGGATTGCGGTGGGGTGCGGTGCTGGCAGGTGGAGAAGGGGGGTTGGAAGGCGGGAGAAGGGATAGTGGAGACGGGCGTGGGGTTGGGGGTGACATGATGGCATGGGGTGGTGGTGACGTCATGCGTGGTGCAGTGAAAGAGGAAGTGCAGGCCATGGATGACGTCAGCATGGGTGGTGGTGACGACATCGAGGGGACGCCCATGCTGTTGCGTGGAACCTATTATGGGGCACCTGATGGGGCACCTGACGTGACACCTGATGGGGCACCTGATGGTGCTGGATATGATGGTGGTGCAATGGCATGCCAAGCGGTTGTTGTTGCCACGGCTTCACATGGTAACCGCATGGTATCAAGTGGTAACACCAGATCATCGCATGATGACGCCATGGTATTGTATGATAATGCCATGGCATCTCAGGGGAGTGGCATGCCGCCCAGTGTCAGCATGGGCGGCGCAAGCAGCAGTCAGGGCGGCAGCAGTGGTATGGGCGGCAGCGTTCTGGGCGGCAGCGGAATGTGCGACAGCGTTTTGGGCGGCGGCAGTGTTTTGGGCGGCAGCGGCGGCATGTGTGTGAGGAGAGGCAGGATACGGGGGGGTAGAGGAGGGAGTGGGGGAGGGGGGAGGAAGGGGGGCGGCGGAGGAGTGAGAGGAGGAGGGAGGGGGGGGACAAGAGGGGGAAGAATATTACCTGAAGCAAGTAGGGAAGAGGAAGAGAGTGAGGGGCAAGTGGTAAGACGATCAAAACTTGGAATTTCAGTGAAGGCTGAGAGTCAACTGGGTGGTGGGCGTGGGGAGGATGAAGAAGAGGAGGATGAGGATGAGGATGAGGATGAGGAGGAAGAGGGGGGGAGGAGCAGTGAAGGGGTGACACGTGGCGAGTTTGAATTGGTGGAGCTGCAGGTCGACGAGCTTCTGGCAGAGCACACGCTGTTCTGTGAGGTGCGCTCTCTTCTCTCATAATAGATAATTTTGAGGTGGGGGGTTTTGAGGTCCCTGTTTTCGCTCATAGCAGAGGGGCTGCAGGTGGACGAGCTTCTGGCAGAGCACACGCTGTTCTGTGAGGTGCGTTGCTGTTGTTCTTATTGCATGGGACAAGGGTTGATGTGTGCGTAACAGAGAGTCTTGAAATTGCTTTGCCAGAGCTACAGGCCGACGAGCTTCTGGCAGAGCACACTCTCCTCTGTGAGGTGCGCTCTTGTTTCATCAATGGGGTTTGTTCGAATTTGTTCTGATGAGGTTTGTATAGTTGTCTTGAACGCACTTACCTACTGAGTTGATGGGAATAACGCCTCTGTAGCCCGAGCATGCTGTTGCACCCCATTTCCCCCATCCCTCACCTCCCACCTTAAACCTCCCACCTCCCACCTCCCATCTCCCACCTCTCATGCCGTGCCGCCTCCCACCTTGAAGAAGGGCTTTAAGCGAGATGCCAATCTCCGCATGCACATGCACGGCCACAGTGCCATCATGCTGCCCCCCCTCCCATCTCCAATCTCTGTCTCCCACCTCACATCCCCCACTTCCCTCCCATCTCCCGTCTTTCACCTCCCTCCCCCCACCAGGTGTGTGGGAAGGGCTTTAAGCGAGACGCCAACCTCCGCATGCACATGCGCGGCCACGGGGACGCCTACAAGGGTGCCACCTCCCTCTTCCAATTCCCATCTCTCGTCTCCCATCTCCCATCTCCCATCTCTCATTTCCCATCTCTCCTCCTCCGACCAGGTGTGTGGGAAGGGCTTTAAGCGAGACGCCAACCTCCGCATGCACATGCGCGGCCACGGGGACGCCTACAAGGGTGCCACCTCCCTCTCCCGCCCCGCGCTCTCCGCCGCCCGCTCCGCCGACCACCCCGCCGCCCGCCCTCAACGCTACAGCTGCCCAGAGCCCGGATGCAAGCGCAACCAGCAGCACCCGGATTTCCAGCCTTTGAAAACGATTCTGTGTGTGAAGAATCACTACAGGCGGACACACTGTGCGAAGCAGTACACGTGCAGCCGGTGCGGTGTGAAGCAGTTTGCCGTGCTGGCTGATCTGCGCACCCATGAGAAGCACTGCGGCCGGTCCTCCTGGAAATGCTCCTGCGGGTCGTCCTTCAGGTGGGTTCAGGTGGAGTCAGGTGGGCTCGGGTGGGTTCATGTTGTTTCAGGTCGGTTCAGGTGGGTTCGAGTGAGCTCATGTGGGTTCATGTTGGTTCAGGTGAGTTCAGTGCGTTGTTTTAGCCCCTCAAGCGAAGCAGAGATTGTCGTATGAGGCGGCCCAAGAATTTCTAGGCGATTGTTACGAGAATGGTTGCCACCCCCCCCCATCCCATCATACCCCCAGCCATCACCCTCCCTGCATCCCTACACCCCCTCCACTCCTTCCCGCTCCCCTCTCCTCCTACTATCCACTGCTGCAATGCCAAACTCCTGAGGCACCTGTCTCACTTCCCCACCAACCAACATCTCAACCCGCCCGCCCTTGCACTTGCCTCCCCCCTATCCACAGCTACTGGGCCACCTCTCTCACTTCACCGACCACCACGCCGTTGCTGCCGGCCCATCGAACTCTTAGAGTCAACTCAAACCCCTTTGCCCACCCATCCTCCCTCTGTCCTTCCCTCTGTCTGCAGCCGAAAGGACAAGCTACTGGGCCACCTCTCTCACTTCACCGGCCACCACGCCATTGCTGCCAACCCCTCTGTCTTTTGACTTTATTCAAACCCCTACCCGCCAACCTTCCTCCACCCCTCCCGCTTCCCTATTTCCCGTTTCCCCTTCCTCTTCCCTCATTCACAGCCGCAAGGACAAGCTACTGGGTCACCTCTCTCACTTCACCGGCCACCACGCCGTCGCTGCCGGCCCATCGAACTCGAGTCAACTCAAACCCCAAACCCTTCCCCTTCTTCCCTGTCGCCCTCTCCTGCCCTGCACCTTCCCCCCCCCCTCCCCCTGTCTGCAGCCGAAAGGACAAGCTACTGGGCCACCTCTCTCACTTCACCGGCCACCACGCCGTCGCTGCCGGCCCTTCTGACTGCCCTTGTGAGAACTCTCGAATCTAACCTACTCTTTCCACCCGCCATGTTCCCTCCTATCCACAGTCGCAAGGACAAGCTACTGGGTCACCTCTCTCACTTCACAGGCCATCACGCAGTTGCTGCCGGCCCCTCTGACCTCCCACTGCCCGCCCTCCCTTCCCCCGCTGCCTCCATGCCTGCTGCTGCTGTCGACGCTGCCATCGCCGCTGCTTCTGCCGCTGTTTCCGGTGCTGCTGCTGGTGATACTGCTGGCGGCAGTGGTGGTGGTGATGGGAGCAGTAGTGCTGCCTTTGGTGGTTACCATGAGGGGAACAGTGGGGTTGCCATGGGATTGGCTGGAGGTGGGGGGAGGATAGGTGTTGACGCCAGCAGGAGCAGCAGTGTGGTAGCAGCAACTAACATGGCTGCCGGTGGTTCTCCTGCTGCCCCCTCTACAGTCACTGCTCCCTCTGCAATCACATCTGACAGTCACTGCCCATGACAGCTGGTTTTGCCCCTCTAACATGTTCCTCTTCATTCTCCAATGTAACCTGCTCTGGTACACTCTGGAGTAAACGGACGCATCGCAGGTTGTAGTGAGGGGAAAATGAACTGGTATTCTGAGGCGTAGGCCGAAGGTTATTGGCATGCATGCAATAAATGTATTCAAACGGAATCACAACCAATGTAGTTGTATGGGCATATTTTTATCTTGGTAATAATAGCATAATGTTTGCGAACCACGAGGCATTGGAATACTCGTCATTATACATATGCACATTGCGAGGTGCTGCGGAAGGCCTGATTGATTATTATTGCAGTATTTGTTGAAGTATTTATTAGTAAATACGCCATATCGAATAAGACGAAGCCTAGGAATTTCGGACCACCTGTGAAGGTGTACTGCAGCCTGAAATGTAGCAGTTGTAGATGGAAGGTGGGTGCACCTTCTCCAGAATGACATTCAGGTGGATTCCACAGGGAGGATAACTCAGGTGAGGATGCAGACACCACATTCGTCCATTTGGTCAAATACTCGAACAGAACCACGTCATTCGACCAATCCGGACTAGGACCACCAGCTTACCACGTTGGCGAAGGGTTACCAGCATGATTAACGACGGATTTATCCATCATTTTTAGCTTCGGTTACTGTCGTCGAACTCGCTGACCAATTCTCACAGTCCAGACCATGACCCTGGTCTAGTGTTTGTCAGGTACGTTCCCATCAGAGGGACCCAAGAACACCTGAGCTCACCTGTAACAGCAGCGACGCGTCTCTTTCTTTGCTCTCATTTTGTCGTTTCTCTGCCCTCTGCGAAACATGCTGTTCACTGGCGTCGTTTGACCAACTAGCCACAGGCGCGCCGAGCAGGGAAAGGCAGCAAATTCAGGCCGCCCTGTGAATGCGAAGCCCTGCGACAAGGAACGTCGCAGGTTCACACCAACCATCTCCTTCCTTCCCCATGACCTCACTTCCCGTCTCTTCAGCAACAACAGCTAACCTCCCATTCCGCAGCAGCTCTCTTCACGTACTCAGACCATTGCTGTTTCTCCAGTTTCTGATATTCACTTTGCTTAGAACGATCTAGGGTTTGCATCAGTTTCCATTCCAGTTCCTTCAATTCTCCAGTTTAGCTCCCAGCCATGGCTCGCTACGCCGTCGTCGCCTTCGCTCTCCTCGCCCTCTTCGCCGTGTGCCACGCGCGGCCCGCGCCGATCGACGACGATATCACCGATAACACCGTTGTCCCCAACCTCAAGGGACTCTCCCGGGAGAAGATTCAGGAGCTTGCGTTGACAGATCTGGCCGCATGGGACGAGGAGGACAACGGCGTGAGTGCCGCCGAGGCCGATAAGATTGTCGTCGATGAGGACAACACCGTTGCTGCCACTGACGACGCCGCTGACGACTCCGACAATACCGTGGCTGCTACAAGCGAGGATGTCGTCGATTCCGACAACTCCGTCGTCGCGTCGTCCGCGGACGTCGCTGATGACGACAACACCGTGGCTGTTGCCGAGCCTGCTGACTCGGACAACACCGTGGCTGTTGTGGCTGCCGAGCCTGAGGATGACGTTGTTGCCGTGATGCCCGAGGACAACGTTGCTACCGCTTCCGCCGCCAAGTCGACTGACATGGGTATCGCCATGGTTGTGTAAATTGGTTTCCCGCAGTTTCTGTTCGTTTCGTTGGCTTGTACGAAATGTTTTGCACCTGTACTGTATTAAACAAATAGACGTATACTAACGATCCTTCGTCCCTTCATGGTTACTCTTGGCTTCGAAAGATTTGCTGAAGCTCTTGATTGGTGCCCAAGCTTGCTCGTTCATGCTGATTCTATGTCACCTTGCATGGAAAATGAATATGGGTACGGTACATTTTATTACGACGATTGCTGGTATGGTGTGCAGTCATACCGTATCAGATCGGATCCACTGCGCTTGAATGTGCTGTCAGAACGTACACCGATCACCTCAATTCCATCTCCAGAATACTAGCGTAAGCATGAGCAACATCATGCATGCCTATGAGCGACCATAATGATTTCGGTTCATTTGCAGCAACCCATCGACATGGAAAACTTGCTTTTCTAAAGAGCCTACTTTTCAAATAAAGCACTTGATTATACCAATCAGAAAATTGCTACAGTACAACGTTGTTCATGTAAGGAGCAAGTCACTGCTTGCAGAAATAGCAGTGCTGGCAAAACAACTTGCACCGCCAGTGTAATCACAGACAAACAAGCGACCACAATAATCCAGAAGCAATCGCCCCGCCATGGCCCGCTATCATGCGAGGTGGATCAGCAGCTGGAGAGCCTGCGAAAGGGTGACACACGATTGTGGTTGGTGGATAGGAAATGCAACACAAAGGGCGGAGGGGGAAGGGTGTGGATGGGGGAATGGAGGGGGGGTGAGTGGGGAGGGGAAGCAATCATGTGAATCCAGGAGCAGTGTTTGTGATTGTGGGTGTGTTGAGAGGGTTTGTGGTAGTAGATGGGGTACGGGGTGTCAAATTAGAAAAGAGAGTGTGGGATGATGGTGCAAGGCACAGATGTTGGGAGCTAGACTTGCCCTCACTTTCTCCGTCTCACCTTCAACCCCCGTCACCTCTCCTTTCCCCTTCACCCTAGATCTCCCCCCTCTTCTTCCCACTCCCTTAACCATTCCTTCCATCTCCGTCCTCCCCCTCCCCCCTCCCTCTCCTTCCCTACCCCTCTTTCCCTCGCTGCCCCCCTCTCCCCTCTTCTCCTCTCAACTTCCCTCCTATCTCACCCTTCCCCCAAAGCTCGCTCTCCTCCCCCCCTCCACTCACCTTGGCTTGCCCTCGCTCCAAGCCTATCCAAGCCACATTGGGAATTCTCGAAAGTGACGCAAACAGCTGCTTCCCCATCTTCCTCTCACTCTAGAACCTTGCTTTTACCCCGCACCTTCCCCTCGCCTCCCTCCCCTTCGCACACTCACCTTTGCTCGCCCTCACTCCGAGCCTGTCCGAGCCACAGCCGTCAGCAGCTTCCCAATCTTCCTCTCCCCTCTAGATCCTTACATTCCCCTCACACCTTCACACTTCCTTTCTCTCCCACATTCCCTTCACACACTCACCTTTGCTCGCCCACGCTCCGAGCCTGTCCGAGCCACGGCCGTCAGCAGCTTCCCGATCTTCTTCTCCCTGATCGCCTTCCTGTGCCCCCCACCATTATTATCCCACAGAACCACCAGAATCGCCGTCGCCTCCTCCTTCCCCTTATCCGATCCTCTCTCCAACGCCCTTGCCAGTGCACCCACCCCTTCCGCCTGCACCACCGCCTCTCTCCCCTCTGGCCTCGTTACAAGCTGCCTCATTGTAGCGAGAGCCTTGTCCGCTAGCCGGTGGCCGGGTGCGCGCGTTATAATGTGGATTAGCGCCCGGTGGGTGCCGGAGAGAAGGAGGGTTGATTTGTTGGAGGTGAGGTGGGAGAGATTGAGGAGAGTGAGAAGGGCGTCTTCTTTGGCTCGGTCTGAGTTGGCCGGACAAGCCGAGGGTTGCCGCTGCGGCTTTTCGTCTAGTAGGATGGAGACGAGGAGCGGGATCGCGCCGGCTGCGCCGATGTCCAGCCGGGCGGCGTCGCACGTGGAAAGGACGAAGAGAGCCGCGATTGCCGCGTCCCGGACGGCGGTCGGGGCGGCACGGAGGATGTGGACGAGGATTGGGGCGGCACCGAGATCGGTGATTAGATTGCAATTGATCGGATCTAAAGTGAGATTGACTAGAGCAAAAGTAGCAGTCTCTGCCAAAACCCAGTTGGTGTGAGCAGAGTTGAAAGAAGGGGAGGTGGAAAGAGGGGGAGCAGTAGCGGAAGAGAGGGAGCGGGAGGGGGTGGTCCCGGCATGCGGAGTGTGCGGGTGGTGCAGTGCAGGAAAGCCGGGGTGTGCTGCTGAGAGGTGCCTGGGCGTAGCATTGACAGCAGCAACAGCAGCAGCAGCAGACCCATACCCAGCAGGATACGGCGATGGGAACGAGTGAGACGCAGCCAAGGAGGGGGTTCGAGTGGGGGAAGGTGCTCGCATGGATCCCGCACGCTCCGAAAAGGGAGTGGCAGGGATGCCATAACCAGGGGCAGAGGAGGAGTAGCGGATGGGCGGGTGGGAGGGGGAAGGGGCCACCCAGGGGTGTGCTGTTAGGGGCAGGCCAGGCATGGCAGGCGAGGGGGGAGGGTACGGATAGCTTGTAGCAGCAGAAGCAGAGTGAGGAAGGCCAGCAGCAGAGGCAGAGTAAGGAAGACCAGCAGCAGAAGCAGAGTAAGGAAGACCAGCAGCAGAAGCAGAGTAAGGAAGACCAGCAGCAGCAGCGCCAGGGGGAAGAGGCAACGGATCCCCCATGCCTGCTCCTCCCTGTCCCTCCTGCTTATCCTGCTTCTCCTGTTTATCCTGGCTCTGCAGCAGTACCGCCTCCACGCCCACAGGCAGCCCAGCAGCAGCAGCAACGCAGTCAAGAAGCGGCCGGAGCACCCCTGCCTGCCTCAAGTGCTCCCGCGCGTCCTCGTCCCCCCGCGCCACCTCGCGGATTCGCCCTGCTGCGTGCAGCCGCGCAGGCTCGGAGCCCTGCAGCATCCGAACCAGCTCGGCAGGCTCGGCGGGGTGGAGGAAGATGGCAGGGAGGGGGTTCTTGGGGGGAGGGGGCGGGAGGGAGGTGGAACGGCTGGGCTCCTTCTGCTTGCTTTTGTGGCTGTTGTCCCTCTCCATCTCCTTCTCCCTCTCCCTCTCATTCTCTCTCTCCCTGCCCCTGTCCCTGTCTCTTTCATCAAATGCTGGTGGGACGGCACTCGGTTTCTGTGCGCCCTGCCTCTCTCTCGATTTCTCCTTCTCCTCCTTCCTCTCCCGCTTTTCCTTCTCCTTCTTCTTCTCCTCACCCTTCTTCTTGCTCTTCTCATTGGCCTTCCTCCCCTCCTCCTCCTCCTGCTGCTGCTGCTGCGGCATCACACTGTTCTGGTACTGCTGCTGCTGTTGCTGCTCCTTTTCAACGTGCATGTTCTCAGGCTTCAGGTGTTTTGGCAGGTGGTCAGGTGTCAGGTGCTCGGACTGCGGTACCATCTCCCCCTCATCCTGCTGCTGCTCAAGCCACTGCTGCACCTTCCGCTCCGACTCATACGCCTGATACTCTTCCTCGCCGTCTCCCTCTCCCTCTCCTTCTCTTTCTCCCTCCCCTTCTACATCCACACCCACTGCCATCACAGTCACCACCTCTTTTACCCCTTTTTCCTTATGAGCCAAGGACTCAAAAGTCTCCGCCGTTTCCTCGTGCTGCCGCTGCCCCAGAAACGGGTGTGTTTTGCTGTTGTCCCCCCGCCTTGCCACCTCCCTTTCACCCACCCTTGCCGCTTTTCCCGTCTCTCCTCCCACTCTCTCTTTCTCACTCCCTTCATACTCTTTAGCCCCAGCAAAGCACCCAGTCAACTCATTCAGACACCCACTCGCAGGAGCACCAGCGCAACTTTCAACCTTCCCAAGCTGCTCCTTCTTCCGCCTTGCCGCAGCTGCAGCGGCGGCTCGGCGTGCAGGTCCGGCAGAAGCAGACCCGGACGGGGTGGTTGGGGAAGCAGGTCCGGGGGCAACGGCTGAGGTAGGCAGAGAAACAGGCTCGGGAGCAGGTTTGGAAGTAGGCTTGGCAAGAGGTGCGGATGGAACAGTGGTTGCAAGTTCCTCTGGTGTTGTTTCCCCTGCTGCTCCACCAGCAGCATCGACACATGCAACAACAGCAGGAGCTGCGGCAGCAGCAGCAGCAGCAGCAGCAGCAGCAGTAGGAGCAGGAGCAGGAGCAGGAGCAGCAGGAGCAGTGGGAGCAGCAGCAGGACCAGGAGCAACGGGAGCAGCAGAAGGAGCAGCAGCAGGAGGCGGGGCGTTGGCAGCCTTGGCCTTGGCGGCAGCTGCAGCGGCTCTCCTGGCGGGGCCCGACAGATAGATCGCTTTGGCCGACCGTACAGAGGTAAGTGAAAAGGAGGCGGTGGAGGAGGGGGTGGGTGGACCAGCAGAGTCTTCCACAGCCGAATCAGCAGCAGAGGTAGAAGCAGTTGGATTCTGGGAAGGAATGGTTATTCCAAGTGTAGTGACAGCACCGGGAGCAGGGGCAGGAGTGGCCGTCACATCAGCAGTAGCAGCAGCAGCAGTTGGTAGTTCCTCCTGTGCAGGTGCAACTGTTGCAGGTGTATCTGGTGCAGGTGACGGCACAGGAGGAGGGAGAACAGACGATGGGCTGCTACCAGTGCTCGTTGCAGACGCTTTCCCTCCCTCCCCCTCGCTGCCAGCAGCTTCAGGTGCCTGTTCAGATGAAATCTCAGGTACTTCTGCAACAGACGGGAGGGCACCTTGGCTGAAGCTAGACATGATCCCCGAGCCTGGCTCCGAACCAGCCACAGCAGGGTCGGCAGGAAGAGAGGGAGCAGGTTCGGCAAAAGGGATACCCAGGCACTCCTCTCGCATAATCTTGACCACAGATAAGGCAGCTCCTATCAAAGCAGGGTTCTTGAAACGAACTATCGCTGCAGGTGCTATCGGAGCATACTCAAACGAGGATCCCACGGAGGCTGGCACGGAAGCGTCCGAGCCTGAGTCCGTTGCCGTACCTGCCGCCGAGCCAGAGTCCGTGGCTGTTCCAGCTTCGGAGTCAGTCCCCGTACCTCTTCCGAGCCCGTCATTGTCACTGTTGCAATTAGCACTGTGGTAACCAGATGTTCCCTCGCTACTAACGCTGCCGTTCATGCTCCCGTTGTAAGGAAAGTTTTTCCGCCTCGCCACTCGCCCCCTCGCTGTTCTGTTGCTCTGCCTTCTGCTGCTGCTGCGCCTGCTGCTGCCGCTGCCGCCGTCGTTTTCACACTCCTCCTTAATCTCCTCAAGAGCCACAATTTCCTCGTTAAAGTCCTCCTCCGTTATAAGATCAAGCTGCCCTGCCAGCATCAGCAGGCTGCGGCGCTTATCGGGGGCAACAGAAATGCTGGTGCTTGCAGCACAGCCGCACCTACCGCTGCTCCCCCTGCTGCTGCTGCTGCTGCCACTGCCGAAGCTGCTACCCCTGCTAGAACTGCTACTGCCGCTGCTGCTCATGCTGTTGCTGTTCGCAGCGCCGCAGGTGCAGGCATGGGGGGGAACGAACGAGGCGATAGTGTCACGGCAGCGGACGGCGGAGGGCTCGACGGGGTACTGCGCGCGCGAGAGCTTCGAGAGAATGTGCGGCACCTGCGGAGCGGGAAAAGGGGCGGCGGCGAAAGGGTCAAGCGGGAGGAGTGAGTCAAAGATGGGACGAGGAGAGTGAGGCGATGGCATCACGGCAACGAACGGCGGAGGGCTCGACAGGGTGCCGCGGGTGAGACAGCTTCGAGGGAATCTGCGGCACCTGCGGAGAGGAGGGAGGTGGGGCGGCGGAGGGGCGAAGCGGGAGGGCTCGACAGGGTGCTACGCGTGAGACAGCTTCGAGAGAATGTGCGGCACTAGAGTAGGAAAGGAGAAAGGGGGGGGCAGCGGGGGTAGAAAAGCGGAGGGTGCGGAGAGAAAGGGGTGCATGGATTGGACGACCAGGGTGCGCCGGTGGCGCCACGACAGCGCATGGCAGAGGGCTCAGCGCGCTACTGCGAACAGGGGAGAGCGCAAAAAAAAAAAACTACACGCTCTACAGATTGAACCCGTGCGGTTACTGTACCCACTACTAGAGGGTTGATAACCCCTTGAAATTGGCGCCTCCCCCACTTTACCTGGAACTGCCATCCCGATGCTTGCCCATGCGACAGCCCGTGCCAGTGCGGCTGTTGCACGGGCGACGGCTCGACGACGGAGTGTGCGTCGCGCAGAGCGTCGCCCAGTCGCATGGTCAGGTCCTGAAACTTTTGCGCTGCCCATTCCGAGCTGATCGCCTGAGTAAGAGACGGAAAGGGAGTGCGGATAGAGACAGAAAAAAATAGGAATTGCACATCGAGCGGACAGGGAACGAAAGATGAAGGAGTTTAAAGAACCTTCTTGAAAGCAGAGAGGCGAGGGAGGGGGAGAATAAGTCGGGGAAGCGAAACCAAGCGGCAGGGCGATTGTGAGAATGCGTAGTTGTGTTGCGAGGGAATTTTACCTTTCTACCCGCGGTCATGTTACACATGGTGCAAACTCCCGATGTACCTTTCTACCCGCGGTCCCGCAAAACTCACGATATACGCCTTGCTGCGCGCCAATGAGCACCAGTACAGCAACCCGGAAGCTTCCTCCAGCACAGCCCTCAAATCGTCCAACGCCGATTGCAGCAGGATGTTTCCGCGAAGCTGCTGCCGCTGCGCGCTCCACGCGTCTACCAGCGGCTCAACGTCCTCCAATAGGGACAGCAACAACGCGCAGTGGTTTCTAAAAGCTGAGGCGCATTCCGGTGGCGGCGCGTTGTCTTCGTCGAGGATGGATGTTAGGAGGAAGGCGAGGCGGTCTGTCAGACCGCAAAAATCCATTCGGGCAGTCATTGTCGATTAATCGACGGACCGGTTTGACGGTAACTGTTTGGAACGGACGAACGGCGTCTAAGCTGACGGAACCGATTCGCGTAGTCTTGGTTACAAACGAAGGGTTGGGGGAGCGATGCTGATGGCTACTATGCTAAGCTAACGACTGAATGCATGCAGGAGCAGAGTTAACTAAACGCCATTGTCTGACTAACCAATGTTTTTTTCCCCTGGTCTCACACCATTGCAAGCACTAATCGTCTCGCCAAGGCGTGCGGAACTGCTTTCATTCCCATTGCCTAGTACGAAAGGAAATCAGTGCGACACTAATGAAGAGAGAAAGAGAGAGTAAGAATGCTATGGTGTGGTTCACGAGAAATAAAAAAACGTTTCAGTGCGGTGGGGAACGATACAATGATTTTAGAGGGGCTCCCTGGTTTCCGCAGCATCGACTTGCTCCCAACACATTTTGCATATTACCGAGTCGCTCGCTCAGACCCACAGCCCCGGCCGGGGCGCATATCGCCGTAGCCGAACCGGCCGCCGCGTTTGACAATACAGTAAAGAGGGGGCTTTACGTTCGGACAAGCTTGGGATCCTCTTTCGTGAGGAATGTGGTGGTTTGGGGAGACTTCGAACCTGAAACAAACTCCGCCAAGGGCTTGTAACGTGGTTTGGGGCCGCAAACAGTAACGCCGAACTAAAAGCCTGAGCTGGACCTGAACGTCCAAAGCGAGTGCGATAGCTCAGGTGTGTCACGTGTCACAAGACTCGGAAGGGCTTGCTACCACGTCCAAGTCTCTCGACATCACGCCCTTTTGCTGTGGTTTCACAAGGATAGCTCAGATAGGGAGACTCGTTTACGATACTAGGTGTTACACTAGTGCCTGAAAACAAATATCACCACTGTTTGATATAATGGTCAGTGCTAACCACTGTCAACAAGGTGCTTGTGGAACCACACAGCATGGCTCGATTGGAGATTTAGCTCGCTTGCAGCGGCCGTCGCAACTGCCAGTGCATCAAAACCGTGCAAAAAAATGAAAGCCACACTTCATATGACTTCATGAACATGCAATGTTGTATGACTGCTGTTGGAGTTAGCGGGAATTAGATCGAGCATTCCCGTAGGTGCAGCTGTAACGCACCCGCTACTACCGACGCAACAACCGCAGCAGTATCGGATCAGCCCATAAAGGGCAGGAAGGTCAACAGTCGCAAAACGTCAACTGACGCGACTGTTGACCATCTGGACCAAACGGTTACACGCGAGGACTGGCAACAGGCGTAACTGTCTATACAGTTACATGCAGTGACCCAATAACAAGAGAAGAGGATCGAAGTGGATAGGATAAGTCTGCTAAGTTAAGAGTAGACAATGAAGTCTTGGTAGTGACCTTGTTAATAAAAGTTGAAAGAGAACAAGATGATTATAAGATAGGAGTACAAGGATATAAATAGCAATCCTAGCTAGCCATGTACTCTGAGGGGTACATTCCCTTATTAACTGAATTGCATTGCTACAGTAACCACGACTATTGCTCTTCTTGACAGTTACCATGTTGCATCCCGTAACTACCAAGTGCGGTTACTAGACGGTCAAGAGTCACGACAGTTGACTGTCTTCGACTGTTGACCTTCGAGTGACTCTCGATCTTCCGCATGCTCTATATGAGCTACTCCAGTACTAGTACAGACGCGCTGCTTCGTTATGGAGTGACGCGTGGGTGGAGAGCCTTCAGGAATGTTTATGATAAACTTTCGGTTATTCCAACACCCGCTAACCGAAGCAACAACAACAGCAGTATCGGATCAGCCCATAAAGGGCAGGAAGGTCAACAGTCGCAAAAGGTCAACTGTCGCGACTGTTGACCATCTGGACCGAACGGTTACACGCGAGGAATGGGAACAGGCGTAACTGTCTATAGAGTTACATGCAGCGACCCGATAACAAGAGAAGAGGAAGAGACATGGTTACTGTAGAAATGCCTGTAAAGCAGTTGTAATAAGGGAATGTACCCCTCAGAGTACATGGCTAGCTAGATATATTTATTGTTTGTAATTTCTTGTTTTAATCAATCTTGTCATCTACACCAAAGACTTCCGCTACCAACCTCTAAGGCATCCGATTCTATCCAAGATCCTTATTCTAACATGGTATGAGAGCAAGTTTGGATTATAGGATCTGCTGTAACGATATTTATTATAAATTACCTTACAGTCAAGGGCTAGCATCATGCCAGGCGCAGACTGTGGCGAGACTAGAGAAAATCTAGAACACCTCTCCACCAATGTCGCCTCTGGAACGACAACCGTGGATACAACACTTTTCGAGCAGCTTATAACACGCATCGCCGCACTGGAGAGCCATCAGTCGATGAGCATTGACGGCTCTAGCTACGCCCGCAGACCTCCCGATCCGCAAGGAGCGCACTACGAGCGGTCGTTCACCTTCGACAATCGCGGAGCCCAAGCATCTGCACAAGCACAACACGCACATTACGAGGGAATGGCGTCGATTCAAAGCAAGTTCCTCTCGACGTCAAAACTTAGAACGACCAAGCTCTTTGACTGGAAGGACTTCTATGCCTGGAGCTTCGAATTCGAGCTCCTGGCGCAAAGTGCGCAGATCTGGATGTACTACGATGGCTCACTACCGTTCCCGATCAACGGCTCACCTCAAGAGAAGACTCAATACTACAACGAGTCGCTGCTCACCTTCACCGTCCTCATCCAGAATCTGACGCCCGAGGAGCAGCTCAGTATCCGCTCCTTCATGAACGAGTGGGCATCCGCGCAACAATCCTGGGAACACCTGCGCACCTGCCACATGGCAACGGACTCGGTGACACTCAGTCGTTTGCTGAACCAGCTAAACAACGTGAGGATGCTTCCGGGAGAAAAAGCCGGACCATACATCAACCGCTGCAGAAACATGAGAGATCGATTCAGGAAAAGCGGCGGCAACTTCCCTGATGACATGTTCGTCACCATCATCCTCGCTGTATTAATTCCGGACTGGCGCCACTGCAAGTCACTCCTTCACACGCAAGGCACCCTTTGCGAAACTTCGCTCTGCGCCTCGCTTCTCTCCGAACAGCAGGAAATTGACCTGTACAACGAAAGAAGGAACAAGAAGGAGAAGATCGCGTTTTACACAAGCGCAGAGAGACCACCTGACAAGAAAAGACTCTTCTGCAAGTACTGCAAGAAGACGGGACACACAATCAAAGAGTGCTGGAAGCTGAACGGCAATAACAACAGCAACAACAACGGGAACTTCAGGCAACAGGGAGGAGCGCCCAACCAGCAAGTGGCGCGCAACCAAATTATGTCGCCACCCGCAGTCGCCAGTACCTCTCAGACTCCCGCACGCATCTCTGCAAACGACAAAGGGAATAGCAAGGTGTTAACATGCATGGTGCGACACCGACCTCCTCGCCCAACAAACATTACCGTTTCTTCTGCTCCTGGGAAGAAATGTGGCAAGACCCGCCTCAAGGAAGACCCGAAGGCTCGGTCGAGGAAGAAATTGAGAATGACCCTACCTACGACGAGCTGACGGTCGGCCACGTTCAGTACGATTGGGAGGCACCGCAATGGATCCAAGAGTCGCCACCTGCACGCATCGCATACGACGACGAAGGTTAGATTACGAAAATGATCATGACATGGACCATCATTTGACTCCGAAACTCGCAAACCTCGCTAAGGCCAAGAAAGACATTAACAAGTGGTACCTGGACAGTTGCTGCGGTCAGCACATGGTTTCACCGAGCGTCTTCATCCTCAATAGCGAGGAGCTCTTCAACGAAGTCGAGATAACCGTCGCCAACAACCAGATGATCTACGCGAGGAGTCGTGGGCAGATTCAGCTGGAGTCGAATGAGACGGGATACTGCATCCACATCAGCGATGTCCTCGTCATACCGGAGCTACGGTTCAACCTTCTATCCGCCGCCCAGCTGATTAAATGCGGCGTCGACCTGCAGTCATTCAAAGAAGAGTTCCACTTAATATACAACTGAAAACTTCTCGGGTAGGCGAAGAACGAAAATGGGGTGTTCGTACTCAACTTAGACTCACCAGGAAACTCCGGCGACAACAACCGCATCATCGTCCTTGATCCACCCGGTCACCCGTCACCGCCAGCGTGGAGCCATCCAGAAGAGACAGACTACCAGCGCCCGGGCCACGACGGAACCTTCCGCGCACTCGCCGTACCCATCGCATCAACCACTAACCCTGTGGACACTGGACCACAGGCAGTGGAAGAAGGAGAAGAATTTAAGTTAGGGAGCAGAAGACACGGGAGCAGGAGACGAAACTACCGGAGGATTTGCACGAGCAATCTGGCCCAGAGTTCAGCAACCCACCGGCTGGAACCCGACGGAAGGATGGGACGCAGTCGGCACCGCCTGGATCATTCACAGCACAGCGCTGGGAGAAGCCATTGAAGCAGAAATGGGGTGGGGCAACGTCGCCGAAGGACCTGCAGAAGGCGAAGAATAACCGGAAGTTACTGAGGAAGCGCCAGAAGCAGTAGAAGAACAAGCGCTAACCGAATACGGCCCTCACCTGCTTCCTGTCACCGCCGGCGGAAGAAACTACCTCCGGCTCGAGACAAGGGGAGCGACAATTGGCGATACTGACTTTGAGGAAGGAGAAGTAACTCAACCGGAAGACCGTTGTCCAAGAATCACGCTGACTCCTCCAGAAGGACCGTTGGAGCTCCCCGTGACAATCGACACCACCGTCATCGGCGACCCCAGCGGGACGTACCACGGCGCACAATTTGAAACACTCAAATCGACATCAGTTCAAGTCCTCGTACCTGAAGAACCTGCGGAAGTAGTGGGAAAAGAAACCGCAGAGAAAATCTTAGCGCGAGAAAAGGAGATCTACACTCGCACACAAGGATACCGCGCCGATCCCGACATCTGGCACAACCGCCTCGAACACCCGTCAATCGAAGTGCTCAACAACTGCATCAACACAAAAGTTTTTGC